AGCTGTCGAGGAACCAGGTGTTGTAGCAATCTCCGCGGCGCTGTGCCAAGAGCGCGAGGTTCGGTGTGTTGCGAAATGGAATGCGTCGATCGCCAGCAGCGACATAGTTGTCGAGGGGACGAGTGTCGATGTTGTGACCGAAATACTAGGTGGTGATTGACGGTGAGTTGAGGAAGTCCTTGTCATGTGGTGGTGATTCCAGCAGTGGCACGGGCAGGTTCCAGTCTTGTTCATGTTCGTCGGAGACAAATTCTCCGTCTTGCGTAAATGGATTGTTGTACGGGTTGAACTCAACCTCTTGACCGTGCGGGGGCGGAGAGACGTAGCGGAGATGTCGCCGGTTCGTGCGGCGGGTGCGGCGGCGGACGCGCATCGCCATGTTCCCTATGACGTGGCGGACGGTGCTGGTCTGTGGTGGCCGCTGTTGGTCTGGGTGGTTCTGGGGGCGCGGGGCGAACCGATGGTCCGTGGACGGTCGGTTGACCTGGCGCGGGTGGTCTGATGTTGGCGCAGGGTTGTTGCGCGGTGCGGAGGTGGGGCGTGGTTCGGATCGGCATCTTTCGGTGGAGTGACCGAAAGCCTTGCAGTTCTTGCAGCAGTATTGTCGGGGCCGATTGTCGCGATTTCGGCGATGGTCGCGGTCGGAGTAGAAGGCGATTTGCTCGCGTCGCGTTGTTTTTTCTTGATTGAAATCCATGCCGCGCTGTTCGTGGAGTAGGGTGGCGCAGAGATGCGCTTCCGAAATGATGCCCTGTTGACGAAGTAGGGCTTTGCAGGGGTTCCAGTGTGGCGCAAGTCCTCGGAGGACGATGGTGACGAACATGTCTTCGGAGATGTTGTTGCTCAGCTTCAACAGTTGGTCGCGGACACTGCGGCAGCGATTAATGTAAGTGTTGGCCTTCTCGCCAGGCGCCATCTTGACTTCCATCAGTTCTTGGAGGAGGCGGCTGGATGAAACGGAGTCCTTAGGTTGATAGGTTTTGTTGAGGTAGTTCCAGGCGGCGAGGGCGGGAGCTGGGAAATTCTTGTAAGGGCGAATGCCAAGTTGTTCGGTCGGCGCCATGTTTCGCAGGAGAACGCTATACGCCATTAGCGACTCGTTGTAGTATTGCGCTTTTGCGTCGTCGGTATCGCTGGTGGGGCCAGCGTAGCTTCCGTCAAAGTAGCAGAAGATTTGCGCGTTTTGCAGTAGCAGCTCGAGCTCGAAACTCCAGGTGTAAAAATCACGTCCGCTGAATACGGTACTGGTGCGGATCTTGGAGATAGTCAGAAACTTGTTCTGAGCTGCGAGCACGGCTTCGTCGCTTGGGCGAGGAGTATTTGGAGCAGTGGAGTTTGAGCCGATGTCGAAATTGGTTGGGCTCGGTTCCTTGACTGGAGCGGTAGGTTGCTCGGGTTGTGCCGCGGTTGGCTGGTTGTCATTCTTTAATTGTTGAACTCCAGATTCCAGCGTGGCGATTCGCTGGATGAGTTGCTCCAGAAGCGCATTGCTGATGGCGGTAGTTCCCGTGGAATTTGCAGTTGGGTTGGTAGGAGGTTCGGCCGTGTTGGGCGCTTGCCCTCCAGATCCTCCAGCCATGTTTCGGCGGGAGCGCGTACCGGACGCCACCTTGAATTTGAATTTGAATCAAAGGTGGTGGTGCGAAGAATCCTGAGTGGCTCTCATACCATGATGCAATCTGAACCGTCTTATAGGATCGTCTCAGGTTGATCGCACGAAGTGTAGCAGCGGAAGGTTGAAGTAATGTCGGGTACGGACTCTGTCAGTAGAAGGAGATTTGAATCTCGACAGAAGTGATTAACACAATGCGGTACAAGGGTTTATATAGGAATACAATGGAATACGAAAAGTCCTAGCTAGCCATGTACTCTGAGGGGGTACATTCCCCTTAGGGCTAATCTAGATGCAGGATTGCAACTGTGCGGCACGGTAACCGTACGCGGTTCGGTAACCGTTTGAACTTTTCCCGCTCTTTTCATTTCGAATTCTTCCTGCTTGCAACCGTCTTCGATAACTGTCTTGACGCTTGGTCTTTCGTCCTCGCTGCAGTCATCTTCGCGTTAAGAGTTCGTTACTTCAGGGATGTTATAGTCATTCCATATCGTAACACTCCTCACCAAATTATTTTTTCATCGCACATTCATACCACATATGCCTAAGTGTAATTTGGCTAAGGCTTGCAATGTAGTTCAGTGGAAGTATGAGGCAACCTTGTCAGTGAGCATAAACAAACAGGATGTTAACAACGGTGTATACGATCCCCCAGCACCTCCTCCCCCATCCGATCCATCCCAACCAGACCATTCCGCACTAGCCCATACCATTCCGCACTAGCCCATACCATTCCGCACTAGCCCATACCATTCCGCACTAGCCCATACCATTCCGCACTAGCCCATACCATTCCGCACTAGCCCATACCATTCCGCACTAGCCCATACCATTCCGCACTAGCCCATACCATTCCGCACTAGCCCATACCACAAGCCAAGCACCTCTTCCAACGAGATCAGATCACACCGATCTTCCTCCTGCTAGCAGCTCTCGCCTCCCTCACTGTCTCCAGCACCTCCTCCCCCATCTGCCCCACCCCAGCCCATTTCAACTACCGTATGAGCCTATACCAAAGCACCTTGTCAAATCACACCAAGCTTCCTCCTGCTAGCAGCTCTCGCCTCCCTCACTGCCTCCAGCACCTCCTCCCCCATCTGCCCCAGCCCACGCCTCCCCACCAGCTTCACCCCGAACCTGCTCGTCAGGATCGCCAGCCGAGCCGCATCGCTGCCCCGAACCTCCCGCAGCAGCAAGGCCTGGTGGCGGGTGACAACTGTGTGCAGGGTCAACTGGGGGAGGGGCCATGTGGTGTGGGCTGCAGCAACAGCAGGTGGGGAAGGAGGAGCAGGGCTACATAGCTTCATTTCTGCTTCCTTTGTCTGGTTCTGTGATGTTACCTGTTGCTTGTGCTGCTGGTGATGCTGCTGTGTTGATGCATGAGTTGTTGTTTGGTTCTCATCCTTCACCACAGCGCCCCATTCCCTCGCAGCCTCCGCTCTTCGCCTCTCTGCTGCTTCCTTCACTGCGGCTGTTGCTGCTGCATCTTCACTCACTCTTGCTGGAGAGGCAGCAGCAGCAGCAGGGACAGAAGTTGCAGTAGCAGCACCAGCAGCAGGGGCAGCAGGTAGCCGCGGCAAGAACGCATCCCTTTTAAGCGTGACTCGCAGCACAGCAGCGCGGTCAGGCTGGCAGCCACGGGGGTCAAAGAGAACAGCAAACGCACCAAACTCGAGGTCAGGGTCGCTGAAGAGAGCATCCAGCAGACACACCGCCACCTGCATGCCCATGCCCGCCGCTGCTGGCGCTGCTGTTGATGCTCCTGCTCCTGCTGCTGCTGGTGGCAGTGCTGCTGGCGCTGCGGCTCCTATACCTGTAGCAGGTGTGGTCGTGGGTGTGGTTTGCCCTGTGGTGGTGGTGTCGGGTTTGCTGGCAGTAGCTGCACTTTGTGCTGCCCGAGATGCTTCCGCTGCTTGAGTTGCTTCTGCTGCCCGAGTTTTTTCAGCTGCCCGGGCTGCTTCAGTGGCCGTGGCGATTTGGTTGATCTTGGCTGCTTCTCTGAGGCCGCTGAAGCAGGCTCCGTGCATGGTGGCGGGATAGTGGCGACTCGTGGCCTGGAGGGAGAGGAGAGGAAGGAACGAGGGGAGCGGAATAAACAAGGAGAGAAGGAGCGTGCGTGCATGAGAAAGGAAAAAATGATCCGTGCATGGTAGTGGGGTAGGGGGGGCTAGTGGCATGAAGAGGAGAGGAGGATAGAGTAAGGCAGAGGGAGGGTGAGGGCGCCTGCAAGTGTGGATGTGTGCTAAGCAGTTGATGCCACGAGGTGGCACAGAAGCGCTCAGCGCACCTCGTTTTGAGCCATCACAGAAGCGCTCAGCGCACCTCGTTTTGAGCCATCACAGAAGCGCTCAGCGCACCTCGTTTTGAGCCATCACAGAAGCGCTCAGCGCACCTCGTTTTGAGCCATCACAGAAGCGCTCAGCGCACCTCGTTTTGAGCCATCACAGAAGCGCTCAGCGCACCTCGTTTTGAGCCATCACAGAAGCGCTCAGCGCACCTCGTTTTGAGCCATCACAGAAGCGCTCAGCGCACCTCGTTTTGAGCCATCACAGAAGCGCTCAGCGCACCTCGTTTTGAGCCATCACAGAAGCGCTCAGCGCACCTCGTTTTGAGCCATCACAGAAGCGCTCAGCGCACCTCGTTTTGAGCCATCACAGAAGCGCTCAGCGCACCTCGTTTTGAGCCATCACAGAAGCGCTCAGCGCACCTCGTTTTGAGCCATCACAGAAGCGCTCAGCGCACCTCGTTTTGAGCCATCACAGAAGCGCTCAGCGCACCTCGTTTTGAGCCATCACAGAAGCGCTCAGCGCACCTCGTTTTGAGCCATCACAGAAGCGCTCAGCTCACAGAACACAACTCCTTTTGTGGGGCACTCAACTGCCATCTCTCCGTATTCTCACAGCAATCACACCACAATCTCACCACATCTCACTGCAACCCCATTCATAAGCTCACCTTGCCAGCGAGAGAGAAAGAGCCGCTCGTCCACGCTCTCTGCCAGTGTATGTATCGTGGTCGGTCGTCCCTCAATGCCGCCACATTCAGGGACACATGTGAAGCTCACATGTGTATCCAGTCCTCTCAAATGTGTGGTACACACACCTCGCCGGCAAAGAAGAGCCGCTCGTCCACGCTCTCTGCCAGTGTATGTATCGTGGTCGGTCGTCCCTCAATGCCGCCACATTCAGGGACACATGTGAAGCTCACATGTGTATCCAGTCCTCTCAAATGTGTGGTACACACACCTCGCCGGCAAAGAAGAGCCGCTCGTCCACGCTCTCTGCCAGTGTATGTATCGTGGTCGGTCGTCCCTCAATGCCGCCACATTCAGGGACACATGTGAAGCTCACATGTGTATCCAGTCCTCTCAAATGTGTGGTACACACACCTCGCCGGCAAAGAAGAGCCGCTCGTCCACGCTCTCTGCCAGTGTATCGTAATCGTCCCCCGATGCCGCCACGCGCACATACGAGTACGAGCCACCTGCATACGGGTCGCTGCGCCACCGCGTGCACACACACTGCAGAGGGTGTGGTACAGCTAAGCCCTTGGGCTCGTGGATTTCTGAGAGGGGGAGAGGTGAGGGGGGGAGGGAAGGGAGGGAGGTGGGGGGAGAGTGGGGTGAGAAGTGCGTACGGGTCGCTGCGTCACCGCGTGCACACACACTGCAGAGGGTGCGGCACGGCTATGCCCTTGGGCTCGTAAATTTCTGAGAGGGGAGGGGGGGAGAAGTAAGGGGCCAAATGGGAGAGGGGAGGGGATGGAACACTGAGTTGAATGACGAGCGTACTGGTTGCCACGCTCATGTATGAGTAAGCACCCTAGAAGGAACACGAAGAACTCTTCAAGCACGAATAGCCATGGCCCACTCACGCAGCGCAACTCCACAGAAAAAGAGCAACACGAGAACGGAACCTCAAAACGTACATGAGGAACAGGGCCCACTCACTCTTGAGCACCATCAGCACCCGCCACATGAGCGCATCCGACTTCTCTCCTTCAAAGTTCTCAAGCCAACCTTAAGGAAGGAACCAAAAGGTAGAAAGAAACAGGGCCCACTCACTCTTGAGCACCATCAGCACCCGCCACATGAGCGCATCCGACTTCTCTCCTTCAAAGTTCTCAAGCCAACCTTAAGGAAGGAACCAAAAGGTAGAAAGAAACAGGGCCCACTCACTCTTGAGCACCATCAGCACCCGCCACATGAGCGCATCCGACTTCTCTCCTTCAAAGTTCTCAAGCCAACCTTAAGGAAGGAACCAAAAGGTAGAAAGAAACAGGGCCCACTCACTCTTGAGCACCATCAGCACCCGCCACATGAGCGCATCCGACTTCTCTCCTTCAAAGTTCTCAAGCCAACCTTAAGGAAGGAACCAAAAGGTAGAAAGAAACAGGGCCCACTCACTCTTGAGCACCATCAGCACCCGCCACATGAGCGCATCCGACTTCTCTCCTTCAAAGTTCTCAAGCCAACCTTAAGGAAGGAACCAAAAGGTAGAAAGAAACAGGGCCCACTCACTCTTGAGCACCATCAGCACCCGCCACATGAGCGCATCCGACTTCTCTCCTTCAAAGTTCTCAAGCCAACCTTAAGGAAGGAACCAAAAGGTAGAAAGAAACAGGGCCCACTCACTCTTGAGCACCATCAGCACCCGCCACATGAGCGCATCCGACTTCTCTCCTTCAAAGTTCTCAAGCCAACCTTAAGGAAGGAACCAAAAGGTAGAAAGAAACAGGGCCCACTCACTCTTGAGCACCATCAGCACCCGCCACATGAGCGCATCCGACTTCTCTCCTTCAAAGTTCTCAAGCCAACCTTAAGGAAGGAACCAAAAGGTAGAAAGAAACAGGGCCCACTCACTCTTGAGCACCATCAGCACCCGCCACATGAGCGCATCCGACTTCTCTCCTTCAAAGTTCTCAAGCCAACCTTAAGGAAGGAACCAAAAGGTAGAAAGAAACAGGGCCCACTCACTCTTGAGCACCATCAGCACCCGCCACATGAGCGCATCCGACTTCTCTCCTTCAAAGTTCTCAAGCCAACCTTAAGGAAGGAACCAAAAGGTAGAAAGAAACAGGGCCCACTCACTCTTGAGCACCATCAGCACCCGCCACATGAGCGCATCCGACTTCTCTCCTTCAAAGTTCTCAAGCCAACCTTAAGGAAGGAACCAAAAGGTAGAAAGAAACAGGGCCCACTCACTCTTGAGCACCATCAGCACCCGCCACATGAGCGCATCCGACTTCTCTCCTTCAAAGTTCTCAAGCCAACCTTAAGGAAGGAACCAAAAGGTAGAAAGAAACAGGGCCCACTCACTCTTGAGCACCATCAGCACCCGCCACATGAGCGCATCCGACTTCTCTCCTTCAAAGTTCTCAAGCCAACCTTAAGGAAGGAACCAAAAGGTAGAAAGAAACAGGGCCCACTCACTCTTGAGCACCATCAGCACCCGCCACATGAGCGCATCCGACTTCTCTCCTTCAAAGTTCTCAAGCCAACCTTAAGGAAGGAACCAAAAGGTAGAAAGAAACAGGGCCCACTCACTCTTGAGCACCATCAGCACCCGCCACATGAGCGCATCCGACTTCTCTCCTTCAAAGTTCTCAAGCCAACCTTAAGGAAGGAACCAAAAGGTAGAAAGAAACAGGGCCCACTCACTCTTGAGCACCATCAGCACCCGCCACATGAGCGCATCCGACTTCTCTCCTTCAAAGTTCTCAAGCCAACCTTAAGGAAGGAACCAAAAGGTAGAAAGAAACAGGGCCCACTCACTCTTGAGCACCATCAGCACCCGCCACATGAGCGCATCCGACTTCTCTCCTTCAAAGTTCTCAAGCCAACCTTAAGGAAGGAACCAAAAGGTAGAAAGAAACAGGGCCCACTCACTCTTGAGCACCATCAGCACCCGCCACATGAGCGCATCCGACTTCTCTCCTTCAAAGTTCTCAAGCCAACCTTAAGGAAGGAACCAAAAGGTAGAAAGAAACAGGGCCCACTCACTCTTGAGCACCATCAGCACCCGCCACATGAGCGCATCCGACTTCTCTCCTTCAAAGTTCTCAAGCCAACCTTAAGGAAGGAACCAAAAGGTAGAAAGAAACAGGGCCCACTCACTCTTGAGCACCATCAGCACCCGCCACATGAGCGCATCCGACTTCTCTCCTTCAAAGTTCTCAAGCCAACCTTAAGGAAGGAACCAAAAGGTAGAAAGAAACAGGGCCCACTCACTCTTGAGCACCATCAGCACCCGCCACATGAGCGCATCCGACTTCTCTCCTTCAAAGTTCTCAAGCCAACCTTAAGGAAGGAACCAAAAGGTAGAAAGAAACAGGGCCCACTCACTCTTGAGCACCATCAGCACCCGCCACATGAGCGCATCCGACTTCTCTCCTTCAAAGTTCTCAAGCCAACCTTAAGGAAGGAACCAAAAGGTAGAAAGAAACAGGGCCCACTCACTCTTGAGCACCATCAGCACCCGCCACATGAGCGCATCCGACTTCTCTCCTTCAAAGTTCTCAAGCCAACCTTAAGGAAGGAACCAAAAGGTAGAAAGAAACAGGGCCCACTCACTCTTGAGCACCATCAGCACCCGCCACATGAGCGCATCCGACTTCTCTCCTTCAAAGTTCTCAAGCCAACCTTAAGGAAGGAACCAAAAGGTAGAAAGAAACAGGGCCCACTCACTCTTGAGCACCATCAGCACCCGCCACATGAGCGCATCCGACTTCTCTCCTTCAAAGTTCTCAAGCCAACCTTAAGGAAGGAACCAAAAGGTAGAAAGAAACAGGGCCCACTCACTCTTGAGCACCATCAGCACCCGCCACATGAGCGCATCCGACTTCTCTCCTTCAAAGTTCTCAAGCCAACCTTAAGGAAGGAACCAAAAGGTAGAAAGAAACAGGGCCCACTCACTCTTGAGCACCATCAGCACCCGCCACATGAGCGCATCCGACTTCTCTCCTTCAAAGTTCTCAAGCCAACCTTAAGGAAGGAACCAAAAGGTAGAAAGAAACAGGGCCCACTCACTCTTGAGCACCATCAGCACCCGCCACATGAGCGCATCCGACTTCTCTCCTTCAAAGTTCTCAAGCCAACCTTAAGGAAGGAACCAAAAGGTAGAAAGAAACAGGGCCCACTCACTCTTGAGCACCATCAGCACCCGCCACATGAGCGCATCCGACTTCTCTCCTTCAAAGTTCTCAAGCCAACCTTAAGGAAGGAACCAAAAGGTAGAAAGAAACAGGGCCCACTCACTCTTGAGCACCATCAGCACCCGCCACATGAGCGCATCCGACTTCTCTCCTTCAAAGTTCTCAAGCCAACCTTAAGGAAGGAACCAAAAGGTAGAAAGAAACAGGGCCCACTCACTCTTGAGCACCATCAGCACCCGCCACATGAGCGCATCCGACTTCTCTCCTTCAAAGTTCTCAAGCCAACCTTAAGGAAGGAACCAAAAGGTAGAAAGAAACAGGGCCCACTCACTCTTGAGCACCATCAGCACCCGCCACATGAGCGCATCCGACTTCTCTCCTTCAAAGTTCTCAAGCCAACCTTAAGGAAGGAACCAAAAGGTAGAAAGAAACAGGGCCCACTCACTCTTGAGCACCATCAGCACCCGCCACATGAGCGCATCCGACTTCTCTCCTTCAAAGTTCTCAAGCCAACCTTAAGGAAGGAACCAAAAGGTAGAAAGAAACAGGGCCCACTCACTCTTGAGCACCATCAGCACCCGCCACATGAGCGCATCCGACTTCTCTCCTTCAAAGTTCTCAAGCCAACCTTAAGGAAGGAACCAAAAGGTAGAAAGAAACAGGGCCCACTCACTCTTGAGCACCATCAGCACCCGCCACATGAGCGCATCCGACTTCTCTCCTTCAAAGTTCTCAAGCCAACCTTAAGGAAGGAACCAAAAGGTAGAAAGAAACAGGGCCCACTCACTCTTGAGCACCATCAGCACCCGCCACATGAGCGCATCCGACTTCTCTCCTTCAAAGTTCTCAAGCCAACCTTAAGGAAGGAACCAAAAGGTAGAAAGAAACAGGGCCCACTCACTCTTGAGCACCATCAGCACCCGCCACATGAGCGCATCCGACTTCTCTCCTTCAAAGTTCTCAAGCCAACCTTAAGGAAGGAACCAAAAGGTAGAAAGAAACAGGGCCCACTCACTCTTGAGCACCATCAGCACCCGCCACATGAGCGCATCCGACTTCTCTCCTTCAAAGTTCTCAAGCCAACCTTAAGGAAGGAACCAAAAGGTAGAAAGAAACAGGGCCCACTCACTCTTGAGCACCATCAGCACCCGCCACATGAGCGCATCCGACTTCTCTCCTTCAAAGTTCTCAAGCCAACCTTAAGGAAGGAACCAAAAGGTAGAAAGAAACAGGGCCCACTCACTCTTGAGCACCATCAGCACCCGCCACATGAGCGCATCCGACTTCTCTCCTTCAAAGTTCTCAAGCCAACCTTAAGGAAGGAACCAAAAGGTAGAAAGAAACAGGGCCCACTCACTCTTGAGCACCATCAGCACCCGCCACATGAGCGCATCCGACTTCTCTCCTTCAAAGTTCTCAAGCCAACCTTAAGGAAGGAACCAAAAGGTAGAAAGAAACAGGGCCCACTCACTCTTGAGCACCATCAGCACCCGCCACATGAGCGCATCCGACTTCTCTCCTTCAAAGTTCTCAAGCCAACCTTAAGGAAGGAACCAAAAGGTAGAAAGAAACAGGGCCCACTCACTCTTGAGCACCATCAGCACCCGCCACATGAGCGCATCCGACTTCTCTCCTTCAAAGTTCTCAAGCCAACCTTAAGGAAGGAACCAAAAGGTAGAAAGAAACAGGGCCCACTCACTCTTGAGCACCATCAGCACCCGCCACATGAGCGCATCCGACTTCTCTCCTTCAAAGTTCTCAAGCCAACCTTAAGGAAGGAACCAAAAGGTAGAAAGAAACAGGGCCCACTCACTCTTGAGCACCATCAGCACCCGCCACATGAGCGCATCCGACTTCTCTCCTTCAAAGTTCTCAAGCCAACCTTAAGGAAGGAACCAAAAGGTAGAAAGAAACAGGGCCCACTCACTCTTGAGCACCATCAGCACCCGCCACATGAGCGCATCCGACTTCTCTCCTTCAAAGTTCTCAAGCCAACCTTAAGGAAGGAACCAAAAGGTAGAAAGAAACAGGGCCCACTCACTCTTGAGCACCATCAGCACCCGCCACATGAGCGCATCCGACTTCTCTCCTTCAAAGTTCTCAAGCCAACCTTAAGGAAGGAACCAAAAGGTAGAAAGAAACAGGGCCCACTCACTCTTGAGCACCATCAGCACCCGCCACATGAGCGCATCCGACTTCTCTCCTTCAAAGTTCTCAAGCCAACCTTAAGGAAGGAACCAAAAGGTAGAAAGAAACAGGGCCCACTCACTCTTGAGCACCATCAGCACCCGCCACATGAGCGCATCCGACTTCTCTCCTTCAAAGTTCTCAAGCCAACCTTAAGGAAGGAACCAAAAGGTAGAAAGAAACAGGGCCCACTCACTCTTGAGCACCATCAGCACCCGCCACATGAGCGCATCCGACTTCTCTCCTTCAAAGTTCTCAAGCCAACCTTAAGGAAGGAACCAAAAGGTAGAAAGAAACAGGGCCCACTCACTCTTGAGCACCATCAGCACCCGCCACATGAGCGCATCCGACTTCTCTCCTTCAAAGTTCTCAAGCCAACCTTAAGGAAGGAACCAAAAGGTAGAAAGAAACAGGGCCCACTCACTCTTGAGCACCATCAGCACCCGCCACATGAGCGCATCCGACTTCTCTCCTTCAAAGTTCTCAAGCCAACCTTAAGGAAGGAACCAAAAGGTAGAAAGAAACAGGGCCCACTCACTCTTGAGCACCATCAGCACCCGCCACATGAGCGCATCCGACTTCTCTCCTTCAAAGTTCTCAAGCCAACCTTAAGGAAGGAACCAAAAGGTAGAAAGAAACAGGGCCCACTCACTCTTGAGCACCATCAGCACCCGCCACATGAGCGCATCCGACTTCTCTCCTTCAAAGTTCTCAAGCCAACCTTAAGGAAGGAACCAAAAGGTAGAAAGAAACAGGGCCCACTCACTCTTGAGCACCATCAGCACCCGCCACATGAGCGCATCCGACTTCTCTCCTTCAAAGTTCTCAAGCCAACCTTAAGGAAGGAACCAAAAGGTAGAAAGAAACAGGGCCCACTCACTCTTGAGCACCATCAGCACCCGCCACATGAGCGCATCCGACTTCTCTCCTTCAAAGTTCTCAAGCCAACCTTAAGGAAGGAACCAAAAGGTAGAAAGAAACAGGGCCCACTCACTCTTGAGCACCATCAGCACCCGCCACATGAGCGCATCCGACTTCTCTCCTTCAAAGTTCTCAAGCCAACCTTAAGGAAGGAACCAAAAGGTAGAAAGAAACAGGGCCCACTCACTCTTGAGCACCATCAGCACCCGCCACATGAGCGCATCCGACTTCTCTCCTTCAAAGTTCTCAAGCCAACCTTAAGGAAGGAACCAAAAGGTAGAAAGAAACAGGGCCCACTCACTCTTGAGCACCATCAGCACCCGCCACATGAGCGCATCCGACTTCTCTCCTTCAAAGTTCTCAAGCCAACCTTAAGGAAGGAACCAAAAGGTAGAAAGAAACAGGGCCCACTCACTCTTGAGCACCATCAGCACCCGCCACATGAGCGCATCCGACTTCTCTCCTTCAAAGTTCTCAAGCCAACCTTAAGGAAGGAACCAAAAGGTAGAAAGAAACAGGGCCCACTCACTCTTGAGCACCATCAGCACCCGCCACATGAGCGCATCCGACTTCTCTCCTTCAAAGTTCTCAAGCCAACCTTAAGGAAGGAACCAAAAGGTAGAAAGAAACAGGGCCCACTCACTCTTGAGCACCATCAGCACCCGCCACATGAGCGCATCCGACTTCTCTCCTTCAAACTTCTCTGCAGCCTCCCCTGCAACGAGTGCCATGAGCAGCGGGCCGCCCGAGACAGCAGCGTAGGAGTAGAAGAGGAAGAACTCGCCGCGCTGTGAGGGGTGCGATGTGACGCGACCAAAGGTGTCGATTGTGGTGTCCCAGAAGACATAGGGGAAGAGCATGGCGACCTGGGACGGGGAGGTAATGGAAGGGAGGTGAGGCGGCATGGGGAGACATAGGATATTGAAGCAGCTGAAGGGTGACGCGACCAAAGGTGTCGATTGTGGTGTCCCAGAAGACATAGGGGAAGGAAGATCATGGCTACCTGCGTTACGGGAGGGGGAGAGGGAAGAGGAGAGGTGGTTATAATGTGCTGAAGAGGTGAGGGGGGCAAGGTCGAGGATGGTGGTGTCTCAGAAGACATAGGGGAAGAGAATTGCTGGCTGCAAGTTGACTTTTGAGTCGACTCAAAAGTCAACGAGCATTGCTCGCTGCATGGGGAGGAGCGCGGAGAGGAGAGGGACGTGTGATGTGCTGAAGAGGTGAGGCAGGCAAAGGTGTCTATGGTGGTGCCCCAGAAGACATAGGGGAAGAGCATGGCGGCCTGAGGGAAAAGAGGAGAAGGGAGAGGAGAGGAGAGTTGTTGATACTGTGGTGAAGAGGTGAGACTGGCAAAGGTGTCTATGGTGGTGCCCCAGAAGACATAGGGGAAGAGCATGGCTACCTGCGACAGGGAAGAGAAGAGGGGAGAGGATGGAAGGACACAGACCCTCTCTGCAGCACGCGCAAAGGTACCTTATAAGGGGGATGAATTCATGCAAACACACCACACCACACCACAACACACCACACCACACCATACCCCCCCAACATTCATACAACCACTGCACAACACACCAGATAACACCGCACTACACCACACCAACCTGACCTTATCCAACAGCCCAAAGCCCAGCCTGTGGATGGCACGAGTCTTCCTGAGAGGCAGAGGCGGGTGGAAGGACACCGACCCTCTCTGCAACGTAGCGCCTCATACCACACCACACCATCCTGACCTTATTCAAGAGCCCAAATCCCAGCCTATGAATGGCGCGAGTTTTCCTGAGGGGCAGCGGCGGGTGGAAGGACACAGATCCTCTCTGCAGCACACCCAGAGGCAGCGTGCAGAGCACATGCTCGCCCTCATACTCCACGGCCTCCCCACTCCTCGTGTCCCGACACACCACCCTCACTCCCCCTGCGCCTGCTATCCCCTCCCCTGCCACTTCCTCTCCCGCTCCTCCCCCTCCTCCCCCCATTCCTCCTCCCTCTCCTCCTCCCGCTCCTCCTACCCCTCCTGCCTCTGCTGGAACCGGCTCGTCCCCTCCCCGATCCCTCCCAATCCCATACTCAACCCTCTCCACCGCACAGTTATACACCACGGGCAGCCCATCAGCCAGTGCATCCACAAGCTGCCCGTTACCCCCCGCCACGAAGCAGTGGTGGCCCAGCAGCTCGTGGGGATCGTCCTGGTCCCAGAAGGCCAGAGAGAGGTCCGCTACTCGAGCTGCGTTGGCGAATTCGAGGTTCGCGTAGTGCCACTGCACCAGCTGCTTCTCTTCTTCTGTTTCCTGCACTGTGGCTGGTTGTGCTGCTGCTGGTGGTCCCGCTGCTGCTCCTGCTGCTGCTGCTGCTGCTGCTGTTGCTAATCCTGCAGCTGCTGCTGCTGCTTCTGCTGCTGCTCCTGCTGCTGCTGCTGCTGCTGCTGCTGCTGCTGCTGCTGCTGCTGCTCCTGCTGCTGCCACTGCTGTTGCTGTTCCTGAGGCTGCTCCACCTTCCTCAGATACAGCCTGCACCGCTTGCTGCCGAACAAACTCCATGGTATTCCCAAGGGAAATCTGATCTGCCACCCCCTCCATCTCTGCTCTTCTCTCAGAAGCTAAGTCCAGCATCACGTTGAATCTTGCCTCGGCTACCCGGTCGGCTTTTTCGTTCACGGGCAGCCCGTCCGGGCGGTAGAGCGGGCAGGCGTCGCGAATGCGGTGCAGAGGGATGGCGAGCTGGCGAGCCAAGACGCCCAGAGGGTTGCCGAGAATGCCTGTCACAATTGAACCACCTAGCTCTGCTGCTACTGCTACCTGGAAGGAGAGCAGGAAGGGGGGAAAAAAGGCATAGGAGGGGAGTTATCAATGCGGTGCAGAGGGATGGCGAGCCAAGACGCCCAGAGGGTTGCCGAGAATGCCTGTCACAATTGAACCACCTAGCTCTGCTGCTACTGCTACCTGGAAGGAGAGCAGGAAGGGGGGAAAAAAGGCATAGGAGGGGAGTTATCAATGCGGTGCAGAGGGATGGCGAGCCAAGACGCCCAGAGGGTTGCCGAGAATGCCTGTCACAATTGAACCACCTAGCTCTGCTGCTACTGCTACCTGGAAGGAGAGCAGGAAGGGGGGAAAAAAGGCATAGGAGGGGAGTTATCAATGCGGTGCAGAGGGATGGCGAGCCAAGACGCCCAGAGGGTTGCCGAGAATGCCTGTTACCATAGACCCGCCCTGTTCCGCTGTCACTGCCACCTGGGAGGGGAGCGAGAGAGAAGAGGAGAAATTCAGTGACAAGTGAGAGAGCAGGGAGTGGGGAGGACAGTGAATGCGGTGCAGAGGGATGGCGAGTTGACGGGCCAAAACGCCCAGAGGGTTGCCGAGAATGCCTGTTTCGATCGACCCGCCTAGCTCTGCTGCTACTGCCACCTGGGGGGGGAGGGGGGGAGTGGAGAAGAAGCAGCGAGGGGGAGAGCGGGGGGAAGAGGATTGGGCAGGGGTAATGAGTGCGGTGCAGGGGGATGTCGAGCTGACAAATTCAGGCTGTCCAGAATACATGCTACTTTTGGAGAGGAAAACACAGTGGGTGAACATGTCCTTTGAGACGTCTCAAAAGGAAAATACAGTGGGTGGGCATGTCCAGTAGATACGTAGAGACATGAGCAAATCTGATGTCTGCTCGCTCATGCTACACTACGAAAGCATATCCTCGAAACACAGTTCTACAGTCCGCCTGTTTGCTCCAAGCCTGTCACCTCCACCACATGCCACCTGCACCACATGCCACCTGCACCACCACCTGCTGCCCCACCTGGTTGGGGCCTGGGGGCGAGGAGAGCAGCTTGGAGTGTCCCGAGCGCACCTCAGAAATCGAATGTCCCCACATGCCACCACATGTCACTGCATGTCACCAAATGTCACCATGTGCCACCACGTATCACCACATATCACCACCTGTTGACCCACCTGGTTGGGGCCTGGCGGCGAGGAGAGCAGCTTGGAGTGTATTCGCCCTCCGGGCCGGTTGCGCGCCTCGATCACTGTCACACTGGTGGGCTCAGCAAAGGGACAGCAGAGTTGGCAGAGAAGGCAGGAGAGGAGGAGAAGAGTAGTTGAGATAGGAGGAGAGCAGCTTGGAGTGCATTCGCCCTCCGGGCCGGTTGCGCGCCTCGATCACTGTCACACTGGTGGGCTCAGCAAAGGGACAGCAGAGTTGGCAGAGAAGGCAGGAGAGGAGGAGAAGAGTAGTTGAGATAGGAGGAGAGCAGCTTGGAGTGTATTCGCCCTCCGGGCCGGTTGCGCGCCTCGATCACTGTCACACTGGTGGGCTCAGCAAAGGGACAGCAGAGTTGGCAGAGAAGGCAGGAGAGGAGGAGAAGAGTAGTTGAGATAGGAGGAGAGCAGCTTGGAGTGCATTCGCCCTCCGGGCCGGTTGCGCGCCTCGATCACTGTCACACTGGTGGGCTCAGCAAAGGGACAGCAGAGTTGGCAGAGAAGGCAGGAGAGGAGGAGAAGAGTAGTTGAGATAGGAGGAGAGCAGCTTGGAGTGCATTCGCCCTCCGGGCCGGTTGCGCGCCTCGATCACTGTCACACTGGTGGGCTCAGCAAAGGGACAGCAGAGTTGGCAGAGAAGGCAGGAGAGGAGGAGAAGAGTAGTTGAGATAGGAGGAGAGCAGCTTGGAGTGCATTCGCCCTCCGGGCCGGTTGCGCGCCTCGATCACTGTCACACTGGTGGGCTCAGCAAAGGGACAGCAGAGTTGGCAGAGAAGGCAGGAGAGGAGGAGAAGAGTAGTTGAGATAGGAGGAGAGCAGCTTGGAGTGCATTCGCCCTCCGGGCCGGTTGCGCGCCTCGATCACTGTCACACTGGTGGGCTCAGCAAAGGGACAGCAGAGTTGGCAGAGAAGGCAGGAGAGGAGGAGAAGAGTAGTTGAGATAGGAGGAGAGCAGCTTGGAGTGCATTCGCCCTCCGGGCCGGTTGCGCGCCTCGATCACTGTCACACTGGTGGGCTCAGCAAAGGGACAGCAGAGTTGGCAGAGAAGGCAGGAGAGGAGGAGAAGAGTAGTTGAGATAGGAGGAGAGCAGCTTGGAGTGCATTCGCCCTCCGGGCCGGTTGCGCGCCTCGATCACTGTCACACTGGTGGGCTCAGCAAAGGGACAGCAGAGTTGGCAGAGAAGGCAGGAGAGGAGGAGAAGAGTAGTTGAGATAGGAGGAGAGCAGCTTGGAGTGCATTCGCCCTCCGGGCCGGTTGCGCGCCTCGATCACTGTCACACTGGTGGGCTCAGCAAAGGGACAGCAGAGTTGGCAGAGAAGGCAGGAGAGGAGGAGAAGAGTAGTTGAGATAGGAGGAGAGCAGCTTGGAGTGCATTCGCCCTCCGGGCCGGTTGCGCGCCTCGATCACTGTCACACTGGTGGGCTCAGCAAAGGGACAGCAGAGTTGGCAGAGAAGGCAGGAGAGGAGGAGAAGAGTAGTTGAGATAGGAGGAGAGCAGCTTGGAGTGCATTCGCCCTCCGGGCCGGTTGCGCGCCTCGATCACTGTCACACTGGTGGGGGCAAAGCAGAGAGAGCAGAGAGGGAAGAGAGGGCAGAGAAGGTAGGAAAGAACGAGGAGGAGAGGAGAGCAGCTTGGAATGCATTCGCCCTCCGGGGCAAAGCAGGGAAGAGGAGACAAGAGGGAAAGAAAGAATTTGAAAGTTGAGAGGGAAAGAGAGGGTTTGAAGGATGAGAGGGAAAAAGAGGATTTGAAAGATGAGAGGGAAAGTGAGGGTTTGAAGGATGAGAGGGAAAGAGAGGGTTTGAAAGATAAGAGGGAAAGAGAGGGTTTGAAAGTTGAGAGGGAAAGAGAGGATTCGAAAGATGAGAGGGAAAGAGAGGATTTGAAAGATGAGAGGGAAAGAGAGGGTTTGAAGGATGAGAGGGAAAGAGAGGGTTTGAAAGATGAGAGGGAAAGAGAGGGTTTGAAAGATGAGAGGGAAAGAGAGGGTTTGAAAGATGAGAGGGAAAGAGAAGGTTTGAAAGATGAGAGGGAAAGTGAGGGTTTGAAGGATGAGAGGGAAAGAGAGGGTTTGAAAGATAAGAGGGAAAGACAGGGTTTGAAAGTTGAGAAGGAAAGAGAGGATTCGAAAGATGAGAGGGAAAGAGAGGATTTGAAAGATGAGAGGGAAAGAGAGGGTTTGAAGGATGAGAGGGAAAGAGAGGGTTTGAAAGATGAGAGGGAAAGAGAGGGTTTGAAAGATGAGAGGGAAAGAGAGGGTTTGAAAGATGAGAGGGAAAGAGAAGGTTTGAAAGATGAGAGGGAAAGAGAAGATTTGAAAGATGAGAGGGAAAGAGAAGATTTGAAAGATGAGAGGGAAAGAGAAGGTTTGAAAGATGAGAGGCGGCTGCGAGCTTCAATCACTGTCGCTCTGTGGGAAACGATAAGGTGGTAGACAAGACAAGGAAGAGGAGGACAGCAGCGGCGACAGCAAGGGCAGCGCGAGCAGCAGCAGTGTGCATGATACAGCACTGCACACCCATAGCACTCAAGGGACTCACTGACGGCCCATGGCTAGTATTTGGCGTGCTGCAGCAAGGCCTGCAAAGCTGGAACCGAGGGCAAAAACGTGGGGCAGGGAGGGACGATGCGAGGGCAGCGAGGCGAGAGCATGAGGCAGCACTCACCGGTGCCCCAGGGCTAGTAGTTGGCGCGCTGCAGCAAGGCCCGCGAGGCCAGCACCGAGGACAATGACGTGCGGCAGGGAGGGGCAGCGAGGGATGGCAGCAGTGGCCGTGCGGAGAGTCCCCAGTTGTTGATAGTTTGAGAGCGCCACATAATCAGCAGCACACCCGCAGCACTCACAGCACTCACAGCACTCACCGGTGGCCGAGTGCCAGCAGCTGCCGTGCTGCAGCAAGGCCTGCGAGGCCGGCACCGAGGACAATGACGTGCGGCAGGGAGGGGCAGCGAGGGATGGCAGCAGTGGCCGTGCGGGAGAGGCCCCAGTTGATGAAGCCGCGCAGATGCAGGAAGGTGAAGGCTGCTCTTGTGGCCTCTCGCTCGGCTACTGGTGTGCTGCTTAATAGCTGCATAGGAAGACAGAGGGGGGAGGAAGGAGAGAGGTGCGGGAAAGGCCCCAGTTGATGAAGCCGCGCAGGTGCAGGAAGGCGAAGGCTGCTCTTGTGGCTTCCCGCTCGTTTGCCGGCGTGCTGCTTAGTAGCTGGAAACACGGGAAACGGGAAGGAAAGAGAGAGGAGAGATGGGGAAAGAGTGAGAGGGAGGCCCCAGTTGATGAAGCCGTGCAGGTGCAGGAAGGTGTAGGCTGCTCTTGTGGCTTCGCGCTCGGCTGTTGGTGTGCTGCTTATCAGCTGCACAGGGAGAAACAAGGGGGAGGAGAGAGAGGGAGGCCCCAGTTGATGAAGCCGCGCAGGTGCAGGAAGGTGTAGGCTGCTCTTGTGGCCTCTCGCTCGTGCGCCGGTGTGCTGGAGACACAGGATGCGGGAGGGGAAAAAGGAGGAGGGAGAGGGGGGTTTGGTTTGGGGGACGGGGGAGCATGTACAGATACACACGCTCACTCATGCTCCCTCCTTGCCACCTTCCCACCCCCACCATTCTCTCGGCTTACCTTGTCCTCGTGTATCCACCCGTTCACATTCCGCCTCCACAAAGCAGTTCCTCATGACTATGCGCCTCAAAAGTTCCTCAAGCGCGCTTACCGATTTCTTCCCCAATACCTCTTTGCAAGCCCACCTGCAAACCTCTGCCCCTGCCTACCTTGTCTTCATGTATCCATCCGTTCACATTCCGCCTCCAGAGCGCCAGGATATGGTTGCGCATGCGCACATACACACTCTCCTCCCCACTGCCCCCCGTACCACTGCGCACCACACCCGCCTCCTCCTCGTCCTCCCTCAGACCATCTGGGGGGAACCCCACCGCACCATTCATTCACTCGCACATACATGCACACCCTCTTCCCCACTCCCTCTTCCCAAACTTTAATGCCTCCACCTCCCCCTACCCACCTTATCCTCGTGTATCCACCCATTCACATTCCTCCTCCACAGCGCCAGAATCCGATTCCGCATGCGCACATACACGCCCTCCTCCCCACTGCCCCCCGTACCACTGCGCACCACACCCGCCTCCTCCTCGTCCTCCCTCAGCCCATCTGGGGGGAACCCTACAGCCCGTGCCACCTCTGCATCGTGCTCCTCCTGCCTCTCCGCCTCCCGCTTTGCCTTTCTCTCGACTCACCTTATCCTCGTGTATCCACCCATTCACATTCCGCCTCCAAAGAGCCAGAATCCGATTCCGCATGCGCACATACACGCCCTCCTCCCCACTGCCCCCCGTACCACTGCGCACCACACCCGCCTCCTCCTCGTCCTCCCTCAGACCATCTGGGGGGAACCCCACAGCCCGTGCCACCTCCGCATCATGCTCCTCCTGCCTCTCCGCCTCCCGCTTAGCCTTCGCTGCTGCTGCTCGCCCTGCCTTTGCTCTCGCCGCTGCTGCCTGCTTCGATTTACCCGTCTGCTTCTTCCCCTGCCGCCTCTGCTGCTTCTGTGGCTGCTGCTGCTGCTGCTGCGGTTGCTTGCTCTGCTGGTTTCGTTTCGGTTGCTCTCTCCTCCTCAGCGTCCTCTGCCCCTCGCCTTTCATCTCGCCTTTCTCCTCTTCCACAATTGGCTGCGGCATCCCTTCCCTCTCTCGCCTTTTCTCCTCCCTCTTCCCCACCACAGCTTTCCCAGAACCTCGTAGCTTATCCGCTCCACTCTCTGCCGTTTCCAAACCCTTATCATTCACCTCCTCAACCATCCCGTCCCTCTCTTCTGCCAACCGCCCCTCTCCTCTCCCCTAGCGCTTTCCTCTCTCCCTCTCCTCCCCTCTCCTCCTCCCTCCTCTCCTCCCCTCCTCCCCTCCTCTCCTCCTCCCTCCTCCTCTCCTCCCCCCCACCCCATCCCTCACCCCCCCATCCCCATCTCCTTCATCCCCCTCCACACCCACCTCATCCTCCGCCCCTTCCGCTTCCTTCCCTTCATCACCCTCACCATCTTCCATTAACTCTCCATCCCCCTCTCCCCCACCCACCCCGTCCGCATCCCTCCTCTCCCCTTCCCCTTCCCCTTCCCCCTCCCCTTCCCCTTCCCCCCCCCCTCCCCCTCCCCTCCTGCAAGGAAAAACTCCTGGAAGCTCCTCTGCTCCAATCGCCGCCGGCGTTTGCTCTTGAGAGCCGAGTAGTGTTGGAACCGCCCTGCCATCACTGACCGTAGCCCCCGCTTCACTCCCCCCTCCCGCTCCCCCTCCCTAGTATCGCCCTTTCTACCTCTCTCCCTACCGCCCACTAGCTGCTGCTTTTCTTCCTGCCCCTCCTCCTCCTCATCCTCATCCTCCTCCTGCCCCTCCTGCTGCTCCTGCTCCTCCTGCCCCTCCTGCTCACCCTGCTCCGGCTTTCTGTCTTTCTCCTGCTGCTCTCCTTCCTGCTGCTGCGTCCCTTCCTCTTGTCCTTCAACCCGAGCGTTTCTTCTGGGAGTGCCTTCGCCATGCCTCTCCTCACCCATCTCCTCTTCCCCAACTTCCCTCTCTTCTCCCCTTCTTCCCGCTGATTTCCTCTCACTTTTTTCTGCTTCCGCTCCTCCTGCCTCGATTTTCCCGTCGTCCCTAGTTTCGTCACCCCCCTTCGTTTCAGCCTCGCGCGGCGCTGTCCTGACGCTTTCGTCAACTGTTTTCATCACTGCAATGCTACCCGGGTCAGGGTTAAAAGGATCCATTTCGCCAGCGTTACTAGGACCTGTTTCGCCAGTGGTACAACGGTCCATTTCGCCAGCGTTGCTAGGATATTTTTCGCCAGTGTTATCTGGATCAATTTCGCCAGCGTCTCTTCGAGCAGGTTCCATTTCCTCTTTCCTTGCCTCAGCTGCATCTAAGCCGTTCACGTCAGCCATGTGTTCATCCTGACCGTTCATCTCAACTCCCCTGTTGCCCTTCATTTCAGCATCATCCATTTCCTCCCCCCCCCCCTTAGTGTCGCACTAAGCAACAGAAGGACCACAGCCAACCGCCGAAGTATCAGCGACGTGCTTACTAACGCATGAAGTGGTACTCGTTGGAAAGTTGATGTGCCATTTATGAGAAGGTATATCACAAAGGCGGGGTAGAAACACAATTTCTGATAGTACTGAATGGAGGAATAACGAGGTTAGAAATAGGCAAAATTGAGGCGAGAACCTCGGGGTAAACGAGGCTCGGAAAGGTGGCGAAATGTGCGGTGGCGACTCGGAAGTGGTTCGGAGCGAAAATGTTCGCCAAACCGAACCTAGCGAGGCAAAAACCTTGGATATTCTCGCCAGCGTAAGCCTACATGAAGGGAAAGCAAAACAAGGTAAGCCTACACAGAGGAATTATGATAATAAAAGCAAAAAAAAATCAGTATTTTGTTTTAAGGCTTAATGTGTAATATAACTTCACCCAGCAATTAAAATGCCCTTCGCTCTTTCTGCCGTTATTGCTGATTCTCTGTGCCGCCTGCTGATCAAATAGAATCAATGTTCAAACGTATTCGTGTTTGAGCCATTCTGATTAAGCCTCAGATTTCCGATCATCAGATTGTCCACCATAATCCATGCAGTGCAGAACTGTCTTGAACAGGTGCGTTGTAAATCTAGTGAGAGCCGGGCAGCGGGGTCAACAAGATGGGTCCCTTCAGAAATTAGTTAGGAGAGCAGAGGAGCTCCCCTGGGCCGCAGCTGTGTTGCTGGTGTGTCTGGCTTGCGCTCAAGCCTGCAGGGGAGGCAGAGAAGGAATGAAAAGCGAAAGAAGCAACTACTTTAGGGGAATGTGCGCAGAGGCACGTGAGCAACACTGTGGGAATACAGCTGCGTTGCTGGTGTGCCTGGCTTGCTCTTAAGCCTGCAGGAAAGGACAGGGAGGGAGGAACGGAATGCAAGGCAGAAGGAGAAGAAATCAACTCGGAGGAGTGTGCACACACGTAAAGAGCTCCCATGGGCCGCAGCTGTGTTGCTGGTGTGTCTGGCTTGCACTCAAGCCTGCAGGGACGAGAGCAAGTGCATGAAAAGACAGAAGGAGCAACAAACTCGGAAATAGTGCACACATGTAGCAGCGCCTTAGGGGTACAGCTGTGGTGCTGGTGCGTCTGGCATGCACAAACAAAAAAAAAAACAAAACAAAGAAACAAATTTGAACACACATGTACAGGAAAAAATCTCACCTCTTGATCCCCCCTTCCACTCCCTCATCTCCCCTTTAACTCACTGTCACTTCCACGCACCCATGTGAGCTCTCAAGTCGCAATTCCACTACCTTACATACTCCATGTCCCCCTCCAGCACGTGTTTGAAGAAGTGTTTTGAGACGTCTTTGAAGAAGTGTTTTGAGACGTCTTTGAAGAAGTGTTTTGAGACGTCTCAAACACGTTGGGTGAGCGACGAGTGTGTTTTGAGACGTCTCAAAACACTTCTTCAAACTCCATGTCCCCCTCCAGCACCTGTCCTCATATAAAGACAATCTCTAGCACCTCTAGCACCTGGCCTCCCCACTCCATCCCCCTCCCTCACCTGTCTATCTCCTGCACGGCTCGATGCACCTCATCTACTGTAACCTCCAGCACCTGCCCTCCAATCACAATCTCGTTCAGAATCTGATGCACCTGCACGCACACAGGCGGCGCAGTAAGGGGATAGGGGGCCAGGGGACCAGGGGAATAGGGGGAGAGGGAGGCGAAAGGGATGTGCTCAGTTGACGTTCATTCCATGAACAACAGAGCACCTGCCCTCCGATCACAATCTCTTTCACAATCTGATGCACCTGCATGCACACAAGCTGCGTGGTAAGGGGGCAGCGGGGCAGGGGTATAGGGAGGCAGGGCAGCAGTGTGGCAGGGAGGCAGAAGGGAGGTATGACGTTCATTCCGTGAACCAATACAGCACCTGCTTTCCTTTCACACTCTCATTTAGAATCAGATGCTTCGTCGTGTGCATAAGGGACAACGTAAGGTTTTGGTGTTCACGTATCGATACTGTAAGGAACTAACGTGCTGAAGACTCAAATGCCAAGCTTAAACGTGTTGCACAGAATGTGATCGCAAGGTAGTGATATCATGCTCAGAATGATACCTACCTTGGTGAAGTTGAAGACTATGTCCAGCTCACACACGTTCTTGTAGCAGCGATCCAGGGACTCCACAAAAACTGCATGCACGCACAGCACCAGGGAAGCAGCAGGGAAGAAGTGCAGGGAGGTCAGAGGAACTGAAGAACTCGGGTGGTTGGTGTTATGCCTGTAAACGAGTACTCGACATTCGAATGGTATTCGTATTCGATCGAATACTCGAATAAAAAACGAATTCGAAATTGGCATGCTATTCGCGTGTATTCGATCGTCAAGTATTCGTTTCGAGCAAGTATTCGATCGACAAATATTCGAGTACTCGAGAGACATTCGTGTCTCTATCTCTTCGCCTCTTTCCCCGTGTAACTTACTCTGGACTGTGAAAGTATAACCCTTTCAAGATTTTGGAGCTTACACCATGTGTAGGGCAGTCTACTTCGACACTCAACGCGAAGCAGTAAGCCATTTGGCTATAGGTCACATCAGGGACTCAGTGAGGGATGACCAGAAGTGTGTATATCAAGAATTTCCATGCTGAACGGTCGAGAAATTTATACAAAAAGATGTATAGATAACAGCCATAATGGTGAGACCAAAGAAAATACGGTAGAATGGATCGTTTGGCCATATTTGAGTGTGGAATGAGCGTATTCGTGGCACATTCGTATTCGATTCGAATCTGCCAGCATTCGATTCGTGCTCAGAATCGACGTGGAGCAGGTATTCGGTCAAATACGATTTTGACCCATTATTCGCAAATTATTCGAAAATGGGTATTGGTATTCAACTCGATACTCGTTTTTACAGGCATAAGTTGGTGTTGAGCCTGGGTAGTGTAGTGTTGAGCCTTGCTGTGAATGTAACCGAGGGCTTTATCCCTGAATGAGGTTCGGGCTGGCACAGAGAGCTCGTTTTCGGCTCTGTTTGGTGGTGCCTCAAATCAAAAGAGGAGAGCGGGTGGTCAAGGGCCTTCCACGAACGAAGAGCCTTACGTACCGTGAATGAGGTCCAGCACAGCCAGCTCGTTCCCAGCCCTGTCGATGAGGAAAATGAAGTAGAGCGTGGCAGCTGTTTCTAAAGTGCTGCAAAGTGGAGCTCGGTGGGTTAAGAGCCTTACTCACCGTGAATAAGGTCCAGCACAGCGAGCTCGTTCTCGGCTCTGTCGATGAGGAAGATGAAGTAGAGCGTGGCAAACGTGCGATACACCAGCTTGATGTTCTGTGGTACAGATTGTGGGGATGGAGAGGATGATGAGAGCAGGACTCAGGAGGGCAGTGGCACAAGGACCCTCAACAGCCAGCTCGTTCGTTCTCGGCTCTGTCGATGACGAAGATGAAGTAGAGCGTGGCGAACGCGCGGTACACCAGCTTGATGCACACCCCCTGACCGCGCACACCAGCTTGATGCACACCCCCTGACCGCGCACACCAGCTTGATGCACACCCCCTGACCGCGCACACCAGCTTGATGCACACCCCCTGACCCTGCAAATCAGCAACCCCATGCCAGATATTCCACGCAGTAAGTAACCATGCACACGCACTCTCATTCCACCAACCGATCAGGATATAAGTCTTTTGCAAATCCTTTGCGGATTTTTTCAACAGAAGGAATTGGCAAGAGGTGCCGATATGACCATATCGTTATCTGATCATTCTCACATTGCCGAGCCTACTTCATCCCACCTTGCCAAACTTGCTTCCAGCTACTCCCACCTTGCCGAACCTGTTTCCAGCTGCTCTCACCTTGCCGAACCTGCTTGAGCCACTCCCACCTCGTCGAACCTGCTTCACCTTGCCGAACCTGCTTGAGCCACTCCCACCCCGCCGAACCTGCTTCCAGCCGCTCTTACTCGCCGAACGTGCTTCCAGCGGCTCTCACCTTGCCGAACCTGCTGGAGTCCTCGATGATATTAGACCATGTGGGCGGGCGAGAGGCCACAGCTGGGTTACAAATAAGGGGAGGGAGATCAGACGAGTGAGAACAGAAAAACGAGTGACGTCAAGAATCGCGAAATCAGTCACAAAGGAATAGAAAGACTGGCCCTGATGCTCTGGTGGGCGTAACAACGGTTTCTGATACTAGAAAGAAGTCGCAACTGACCTTCAAACGAGTGCCGGATTATATGCTGCTGCCTCTCTCCGCTCTGCAGGGAAACGCACGGATCCAGTCACACAGTGACTTGTAAATAGGTATGGGAAAGGCAACTATTATATTTGTCGCTCATGAAATCAGCACGGCAAGACGCTAGTGATGGCGTTCGCGACAGCCCTACAACGCTCGCGAGAGGCTTACGATGTTCGCATAGAAGCGCACGAAACGAGCCTTTCCTTGATTGTTGATGATTAGCACGGCCTTGATCATGTCGCCTCGCGAGTCTGCCGCTGAAAAACGAGGGAACGAAAAGTGCGATGCCAATAAGGAGCGATGCGAGTGAAACAACACATCTTTTCTCCCTTTCTCGGTCTACTCGTCGCCAATGATTCAGCGAGGCATAAGGTTTCCTCAAGAAGAAGAGACGCGCTACTGCGTGTTGAAGCAGTCTCGGACGGTGAAGCCCAGACTTACAGATTCCACTCGGTGTCCTGCGTCCAATCAGGCGACTAGTAAAGCATCAGGGTTACGGATTGGGTACTCGTGAGCTCGGACCTAACCTTCGTAATACGGCGCAGTCGTAACGAAAATTGGAACGCTGCGTAGATGAACTTAACTGGCAACCATGACTGCGAGCGAACTGACAAACTACTCTTTTCGTAGTGCTCGGCTCATAATACGATATCGGCAGCGAAGAGCAGCTGAACATATGGCTGAAAGTGGCGGCTCTTCGGAATTTGTACGAGCCATGAAGGGCCGATTTCTGCCATATGGCGAAACCCGAGATGGTTATTAGTCTTTCTGAAACTGGTTTTGCACGTGGCTATTATTTCTTGAACGGTATCCTGTTGTTAGTTTTCGGAGCCAACTTCTCATAAACCAGCCATCAGCACAGCTGAGGGTCCCCTCCACATCCTTAAAGCTTCAGTAAGACTACAACAATGAAAGAACTATCATGTTTGAATCTTTGTAATCATTGGAAATTCACAACACAAGGGCGCTCCCTAACACAGCACTGATCAGCTTGACAGCACAAAGGAAATTCAAAACGACGGACCACCGTATGGTCGCATAAGAATGACATTACTGGCATATTGCAATTGTAGGCTGCCAGCTTTTCCCTGCCACGGTCTCACCCCCAACCCTATTTCACAAATGTCGGGTCCCACCCTATCCCTCACAGCCAGCAGCAGCAAGCTCCAAGGAGAGTAAGCTATCAAGTCCCAAGCCAGGGACTCTCCAGATCTCAGATGGTATAGTCCAGAATGAACGAAGTGTGGTCCATAGTCTCACTCGGGTTGACCGTTGACATAGCAGGCTTCTCTTTCCCGCCAACCAGCCTCCCTGGAATCCCCACAACCGTCGCACGCGGCGGCACATCCAGCAGAACCACCGACCCTGCTCCTACTTTCGCTCCCTCCCCAATCCTGATTGGTCCAAGCAGCGTCGCGCCAGCGCCAATCAAAACGCCGTCGCCGACCTTGGGATGCCTGTCGCCCGTGCTCTTCCCCGTCCCTCCCAGCGTCACATGATGCAGAATCGAAACGTTGTTACCAATCGTTGCCGTTTCGCCAACCACCAGCCCCGTCGCGTGATCAAACAACACCCCATTCCCAATCCTCGCAGCCGGATGAATATCCACGTGGAAAACCTCCGACACGCGGCTTTGGAGCGCCATGGCCAAACCCTGACGGCCCTCCAGCCACAGCCGATGCGCGATCCGATGCGCCTGCAGCGCCTGGTAACCCTTGAAATTCAGCATCGCGTGGGAATAACTCCTGCACGCGGGATCGCGGGTGTAGATGGCTCGCAGATCGGCGCGCAGCGCCTCCTGAACTTCCGGCGATCGAAGCATCACGTCGGTGAAGAGCGAGCAGAGCTGCGTGCTTAGCAGAGTCGGCGATTGGAGCTTGTTTGCCAGGTGAAACGCCAGGGACCGCTCCAGAGAGCGGTGCGCTAGCACCGTGGAGTAGAGGTACGACGCCAGCGCAGGCTCAGCCTCGGAATCCTGCCGAGCCTCTTCGCGGATCGTGTACCAAAGCTCGTCCTGGACGTTCGGAACGGTTTCGAACGCATCCGGGACCATCATCGGACGGGTGGAGACGTCCGACTGGAAAACGTGCTGGAAGAAGGGCGCGAACGGGCTGGACTCGTCCATGGACCCCGCACGGCGAGCGGCGCCATTGGTGAGAGACGAGCGGATGGCTGGAGAGGGGTGTTGTTGTGACCGTTGGAAGGTGGCAGGGGCTAAAGCTTTGGAGCTGAACGCGGGAAGGAAGGAGGAGGAGAGAGGGGGGGTGGTGATCGATGGTGTTCGGCGGTGCGGGGAATTTCCGACGGCTTGCGACGTGAGAGCTGCTGCGGTGTGATTGGTACTCAACGCGTGCGCCATGGCCGTGGGAGAGAAGTGGAAAATGCGTGAGGAACAAAAAGGGCACAATGAAGGCTGTGGCGTAGCAACACTAAGGAATCGAGCTAAGGGGTCTGTTTAAGGAGTCGTAATAGCTAGGTATGAGTGCGAGTTAGGAATGTTGGAGTGCCAAGTCCAATGAGCGGCTATATACGGACAACACCGACGCAAGATGCTCTACGTTCGGTGATTATTCTCCCGGCTGGTCTAGGTTCCGACAATTAGAGCTATATCTGGCATCCGAGCCTGCCACGGGATAGAGTAGGAGGAAGGTTCCGAAGTTCGGCAGCTTGCGGGATGGAAGCTGTCGCGTTGTCAGGCTTTACACTTGTACAATTGAAACCGCCGGATCGCCGAACAAGCACCGCTGGAAGCTGGGCATGTCTAGGAGTGGTGCTAGTGAAGAGGGTGCATGCAAGGACGAAGTCTGACGCTGGGGCGAAAGCAAACTGGCCTGTGGGATGGACGGACTCGAGCTGGCGAAGTGAATGGTGGAAAGCAATGCAGACGCGAGCCGTGAAGCAGCAATAGCGGTCTCGACTCGGATCAGATGATGCTGAAATAGAATCACTTGTCCCCACAAAACCTAAATTCAGCGTATAAAGACGATCAAGACGATGTAGCAGAAGGAAGGTGACGTCACGGAGGGTAGGAGGGAGTGGGGTTGGAGAGGCATGGAGCAGGGAAGGGGAAGCAGGCCATCGGCGGCTACGATTCTAGCATCTAAACGTACGCGTTACGAGCTTCTTAGGGGGGAACTGCGTTTGAGCGGGGAATGAAGGCAGCTGAAAAGAATCGCGCACCCCCAGACGAGTGCTCCCCGTGGAACGGCAGGGAAGGGGGAACAACCACTATGGGGCGTGAAGCGGGTGAAAAAACTCAATTTTGGGCTGTGGAAAATGCACCAACTGTGCCGCGCTGTGTTCTGAAGTTCATCACCCTACGAAACCGTTGTGGATAAATAACATAAACGGTTTACAACGCAATACAATTCACCAAACCGTAATAGAAGAATGTTTGGTTGAAGATACCGTTGACGGCACATGATCCAGCTTCTCGCCGCGCGCCCGCTCCCAGGATTATCGCAGGCTGGACCAACGAAAGGAGTTCTTTTCGCTGACCTGGCCCTTCCCCCGTGCGAAGAAAGCCATGTGACGGCTGCCGCTTGGTGCACGGTATGGGGACCCAAACAATCCTCCAACATAATAGCGAGGATAAGGTGCAAGATTCTTCGCTCGGTGGGGGGTTTTGTTACCATGCAACGCGTAGGATAAATTAAACTTCAAACAGTACGTAGCGAAACACAATCAGAAACAAACAGCTTTCACAACAAGCGAACGTTGAAGTGTGCAATAGTGAGATGCCAATATAGCGTACAACCGACAAATTTCGATACATCTCCAGATCAGTGAACTCATCTCACTGTGTCTCTCTCATTCCATCATTTCTCAGGTAAATCATGTCTGCAGTTCGCACGAGAATCCATGGCTGAAACGGCAGAGCGTGGCGGAGATCCATGGCGAAACGGCCAGGACTCCCTCAATTCGCCGAACGTCGTCTTTACCGTCGCGATCGCCCAAGTCGTCGTGCGACGAGTGCTCGCAGGTGCGACTGGCTGCCTGGCTGAAACGAGCTTCGAAAGAGTCAACACGGCCCGTGTAACATCCGGGCGTATAGAACATGATTTTTCATCTCGTATTCCTCCCATAACCTCACTCTATATGGCATATTGCTCGCAGCCCTGATCAGATTATTGAGCTTTCCCCATACCCAGCCTAATTTCTCGATGAGGCGTCATTTTCGACGATGTCGTTAGAAGATACTCCTTGCACCCGTCCCTTTCCTCTACCGGGTAACCCTCACACGCAGGTCTGGATGGAGCGGCGAGGGAGGAGGAGCTGGTGTTTGACGCCGTGCATGCTGCTCTGGTGGCGCATGGCCCAGGCCAGCTGCAGCGGCTGGAGCTGCGTGCGGTAGCGGACGGGCGGGTGCTGCTGCATGCTGCAATCGCCACTTCCTTCTGGTGCCAAGTGAGTGAAAGCCCTTCCTTCATGCCTTACCTACACTACACTACACGTCGCCAGATTCCGAGTCGACTCAGATCAGAAGTCACCTAGTAGCACGCCCTTCCTTCATTTCGTGCCTATTCTTCTCGTCCCCCTTATCCTCGTCACCTCCACCCTTCCCCACTCCGCCCCGCAGCCCCAGACGGACGTGCGAGTGCACATGGTCACACCAGACGGCACGCGCTGCTCGTTTGAACTTTGAAGGGCACTCGCTTCTGAACTTGCTGCCAATTCATATCTTCCCTCCTCTCACCCCCCACCATCGTATGCAGGCCCAGACGGACGTGAGAGTGCACGTGGTCACACCAGATGGCAGTCGCTGCTCGTCCGAAGGGCCTTAGAGAGGTCGCTTATTCGTCTCTTGCCCCTTATCCCCGTCACCCTCCCAACTTTCCTCACTCCGTCCCACAGCCACAGACGGATATGCGAGTGCACATGGTCACACCGGATGGCACTCGTTGGATTCTCATGTTCGCAAGGTACTGGCTGGCTGGTTGGTAGTGCGGAGAGTAGTTTTTCCAGTTCAAACGACTCAGCCTACTGAGATGTTAATTGCCCACCCTGGCATTGATTTTTTCCACTTTTTTGTATTTCGTCCCTTTTCTCCTTCCACACCTTTCCCCTCACTAACGCTATTCGTCCTGCCTTCTATCGTCATCCAATTCTCCCCCTCTGCCTCCCTCCACAGTCCCACAGAGTCTTGGGCCTTTCTTCTCGCCATCGGCTTTGCTCGCGCCCTCGCCACCTCCCTCTCGGCGCACCTTGCCTCGGCGGCAGCACAGACCTACCCTCCGCACGCCTACGTACCCGTCCCGCCCACGCTGCAAGTAAGTACTGGATGTGCTCGTCATGCACTTTGCTCGTGCGCTCGTCACATCCCTCTCCGCACACCTTGCATCTGCGGCGGCACAGACCGGGGTTTAGGGTTTAGGCAGCACAAACGCCTACGTGCCCGTCCCTAGTAAGCCTGCCTGACTTTGTGACCACGGGAGTACCAAGAGGTTTTATTTCCCTGCTCTCGCCACGTCCCTCCTGGCACACCTTGCCTCTGCTGCTGCAGTGGCACAGACCTTCCCTCCACACGCATACATGCCCGTCCCTCCCATGCTGCAAGTAGGCCTGATTGGGAGGGGAAATGCCAAAAGAGCTCACTCATGAAGCAGCAAGGGCCGTAGGTTTTTTAAAGGGCAAAAGGACAAAAGCAAAGGAATTGCCTCCTGCCACCAGTTGAACAAGGAAAATCCAAAGGGGATTCACTCGTAGAGTACTTTTGCCCGTACGTCTGTATCATGGAACCTTGCTGCTATTGTGGTAGGGCAGACAGTAAGTGGCAGCTCTCATGTGTGTTCCGCATTATGAATTTCCTACCATGCATTACTTTTTGATGGTTTGAACTCAAGTGACGTGATCGCGTGTGGCGTGTGCTTGTGTGCGTGTGTGCTTCTGTGCAGGATGTTCTGCTGAGCACAGGCGGACACAGGTCACAGGCAGAGGGGGGAGACACTGTAAGTCTGTGAGGGTACAGTGGGAGCACGGAGGGGAGGGGGGGAGAAGGAAGAAGGGGGGTGACTGAAAGAAAGGATAGAGAAAGTGAGGGGGGGACTGGATTTGGGAGGGAGTCCTCATGATAGAATGGAATGTATGGCACTCGTCTCTAAATCAGACGGAGTCCTAGGTAGCCTAAATCAGATGGAGTCCTAGGTAGCCTAAATCAGATGGAGTCCTAGGTAGCCCAAATCAGATGGAGTCCTAGGTAGCCCAAATCAGATGGAGTCCTAGGTAGACCAAATCAGATAGAGTCCTAGGTAGCCTAAATCAGATTTACACGTAAAAAGAAAATGGAGAGACTGGAGAAAGCGAGCAGGTGTGGAGCTGCAGTTACAGATGCAGTTGCATGGCGTGTGGCACCGTCGATTGTTCCCCCATGTCCATCGTGCTGGTTTGATAATTGGGCACCCTATGCTTAAAAACATATCATGTTACAATAAATTCCACGTGCAAGTGGCGGTTACAGAACGGGTGGCTGACCCCTTCACATCGCGATACCTGCGACCTACTGCCCTGTGATGTGAGATTCCCTCCTTGTATCACACGTGCAAGTGGCAGTGACAGCATGGGTGGCTGACCCCTTCACATCACCGCATCTGCGGCCTCAACACACCCTCCCCCACCCCGCCTTTAAACATCGCTTTCACTCTGTGATGTGAACACCCCTCTTCATCGCAGGTGCAAGTGGCGGTGACAGCATGGGTGGCTGACCCATTCACATCACCGCACCTGCCTCCCCCCAAGCCATTTCTCGTCACTCAAGGTTCGTTTGCATGCCTGCACAGCACTGCACCACACAGCTCACAGCATGTTTGTATCTGCTGGATTGAATCCGCCCATTCAGCATCTACCTTTGAGAATTGTTTCCTAGCAATGCCGGGAAGCGCAGCACTGCTGCTCTGAAACGTCCCACATGCAATACTTTTGTCTTGCACATTTTCTTTTTTTTGCTTCTCCCACGAAGTATTCTGTTCCTGCTCTTATCTCTTTCTTACCTTTGTTCCTTCTGCGTCACTTGCCCACATATTCAACCTATTCCAGGCAAGGGAGTGAAGCTGCTGCTTGGCTCACACAAGGCCTTAGAAGGTATCATCATTTCTGCGTGTATATTGCTCTTCATCATGCCCCTCTTGACCAGTCCTTTCGCACATTTATGGGCTAACGCGTCGTTTCGCGATTCACCTGCCGTTTTTCCTCCTCGGGGGTCACTAACCATCTGCTTACCCCGCTTTCCACCCACCCGTCCACCCACCAGCTCTGGAGCAAGGCATAGTGAGCTAGGCGGTCGGCGTGTTTGTGCATGACCTTCTGCTGGATGACTTGGGAATGAGACCACCTTCACTTCACCATCCTTGGCCCCCCTTCCCCCTCTACCACTCTCACGCATAACCACTCTTCTCCTCGTTCTCCACACCCGTCCACCAGCCCTGGAGCAAGGCATAGTGGGCATGCGCAAGGGAGGGAGGCGCTTCCTTGCTGTTTCACCCTCGGCTGCCGGTCGTGGGGATTTTCCGTCCTTGCCTCCTAATGTAGGTTACAAAGGGAAACTTAATAATCTGCCAAATGACTTATGGGGTACCTCAAAAGTTGATTGAGGGCAATATTGTAATGCATCAGAGACCACCTGTAATGCATCAGAGACCACCTGTAATGCATCAGAGACCACCTGTAATGCATCAGAGACCACCTGTAATGCATCAGAGACCACCTGTAATGCATCAGAGACCACCTGTTATGCATCAGAGGCCGAGTTGAGTTTAGAGACGTCGCAAAAAAAAAAACCACCTGTCTTTTGGACATTTGTATACTGCCTGCCCTTGTATGCCTTCTTATTCACCCCCACCATTTCCTACTTCCCCCCTCTCTATCACCCCCCCTGTTTGCAGTTACCACCTAACACCCTCCTATTCCTCGACATCACCCTTCACCGCATGCGCAAACCCTCCGCATCAGCGTCATCATCAGCTACTGCCACAGCTCACGGCCAGTCAGCAGGAGCGGCTAGCAGCAGGCACCGCAAGTCATCCACGCACTCTCTCCCTCACTCCTCAACTCCCAGCGAGGCCGGCCTAGACCCGAACCTAGACCCAAACCTAGACCCAAACCTAGACCCGAACCTAGACCCTGACCTAGACCCTGACCTGGACAGTGACATGAGCGATGCTCTTTCAGTGGCTTCTGCTGCAGACTCCCTCTCCTCCTCCCTCTCAACTCGCTCAGCCCCTGTGAGCCCCTCTAAGCTCTTTCGCAATGCCTGGCCAGGAGGCCTCGGTCTCTCATCTGCTTCTGGCCTGCACGGGTCAGGTTCCTCGCTGGCCTCGGCCTCTGCCAAGACGCCACCTGGCATGCCCCCATTGGCAGGTGCTGCTTCCGCCTCGGGAATTCCGCCGAAGCCTACGAGTATGGGTCATGCAGCGAGTGAGAGAGGGGGAGAGGGGGTACGGGGAAGGGAAGGGGTAATGGGGCAAGCTGGGGTAAGGGGAGCAGAAGGGTCAGCAACAAAAGGGGTAGGGGGAGTCTATTCAAAAGCAACAGGCGATTCAGCAGCACAACAAGCTGTTTACGGGAATGGTGCTGGCACTGTGAAGGGTGCTGTTGACGGTGCTGCTGCTCCTGCTGCTGTGAATAATAACGATGGTGGTGCCGCAAGTTCTGATGTCCGTGTTGCTTCTGAATCTTCCTCTGCCTTGCCAAATGGAGAGATGACACATCAGCAGCAGGTTTCGGGAGCAGCAGGGGATGGGCGTGTTGGGGGGAAAACCACAGCAGCAGGACTTGCACCATCAACAGCTGCAGCTGTAGCAGCGTCACTATCAGCAGCAACAGGAGCAGCCACTGCAGCAGCAGCAGCAGCAGCAGCAGCCTACACCATCAACAGAAGCAGCAGCAGCAGCAGCAGCAGCAGCAGTAGTGCCACCATTTATCGGACCATCAGGTTTAGCTGAAGCCAATGCAGCAGCAGCAAGGCAGCTGACACACCCTGTAGCACCCTCTGAGCCAACAGCTGCTTCAGGAGTAGAAGCAGTGCGCACCGATTCAGACGCACAGCAAGACCCAAACTCCCTAGAAGCTCCACTCAGCCTAACACGCACCTCTGCTGCCACCTTTGTCAAGAATACCTCCTCTTCTACCCAATCCCCCATCGTCCTCCTCCCTCTTCCTTTCATCCTCCCCACTCCTCCTCCCTCCTCGGTATCACCTCTCTTGCCGCCCAAGCATACTAACACGTCAGCATGTGTAGGGAGCGCCACAAGAGGACAAATTAACCAGGCTGGCAGGGAGGGAGAGGAGTTTAGGGAAGGTGTGACAGGAGGTTCGGGAGGGATAATGTATGATGGAGTGGCAGCGGATTGGTCTTGTATGGATAGGTTACGTGCACTAGAGGACAAAATTGACAGGCTGGCAGACATTACACGGCTCTGGCTGGGCAGGTCCGCTCCGCGGCCGGCCAGCTCCAGTCGAGTCCAAAAACTGCCGCCCAGAGGTGCTGGCGGTAGCGACAGATCAGAGGCACATGTTGGTAATGTTGGGGAGAACAGCGGTGGGGACATGCGATTGAACGAGGTATTTTATGTAGGCGGGGAATTGGATATAGAGAGTAGACGAGGTGAGGCAATGGAGAGAGCAGTGAGAGGATTGGTGGGCCTAGGGGTGGGTAAGGAGGGTGGAATTGGGAGTGGTGCGAATGGGAACACTCAGGAGGGAGGAGGGGGAAGAAGTGACAGTGTTGTGGGGCGAGGCGATGGGGAGGAGGAGGGTGCGTGTGGGAGTGAAAGACGGGGAGTGGCGGGGGAATGCGAGGACAGCGGCACAGCTCAGGAAGAGGGTACGGCAAAGGAATGGGAGGAGAGGTGCGACTACAGAGACAGAACGGAGGATGAAGAGGGGGAAGGAGAGGAAGCGGCAGAAGTGGAGGGGTATTCTGATTCACAGGAGGAGGAGGTGATAGGGGTGGTGTCGCTGGTACTGTCTGAGAACAGGGAGTTGAGGCGCATGCTGAGGAGCAGCCAGGAGAGGGAGAGGAGGGCAGCAGACAGGTGCAGGGAGATGGAAGGTGAGTGTGTGGGGTCGTGAGGGGGTGATACGGGTGGTGTCGCTGGTTTTGTCAAAGAGGAGAAAGCTGAGGCGCATGCTGAGAAGGGGCCAGGTGGGGGGGAGAGAGGAGAGCAGCAGAACGATGCAAGGAGATGGAGGGTGAGTGGGAGGGAGGGTGAGTGTGGGATTGAAGTGTTTCCGGTGTTTCCTTACAGCCTTCCCCATGGATTTTTTTTTGCAATGTGCACCTATCCTTGATGGACTGTTTGCAGCAGTGCTTCAGTGTTACAACTCACAACTCCCTCGTTAAAGTACTCACTCATGCACTCACTCTCTCACTCACTCACCCACCCACTCACCCACCCACTCACTCACTCATCGAAGCACAACGCACCTCAACTGAGGCACTATTTGTCTCCTTCTCCCACACGTACTCCTGTGTGCGCTGCAGCTGAAATCGGTAGGCTCAAGCAGCTAGTGCTGCAGCCGCACCGTCGCGAGCCACGGGACTTGCAGCAAGCAGACAATCCCGAGGGACAAATTGCCCGTTCATGAGACTAGTGACGTTTTATATGCCATGTATTAATGCAGGGTAGTTGTTGCTGCTTTCACACAGTGCAGTGCAGCAGCACTGTCAGGTTCCATTTTCCTGGTCACTAATCACCTATTGCAAGGAAAGGTGCAGTGTTATACGGCAATGATGCATATTCACTAAATAATTATTCACATTATATACATGCAATGTACAGTTTCAGTAAAGTGTTGGCTGCTGTACTTGTCCTGGCAAAACAACAGCCTTACATGACACCTGGTGGTTCCCTCTCTTACAAATCAACCACCTAGTGGTACCCTTACCGCAAGACAATCCTCTTATGCACACTTCACTGAATCTCTCCCAAATGAGCTTCTCTCGCATGTGTCAAACACCCGATAGACTCGCTGCACAGACCGCCAGCAGATGGGGCGGAGAGCGCTGCTCTCACTGACAGCGCGGAAAGCACGTGAAGTGGCCACACGGGATGAGCAAAACCTGCAACGGCCTGTCCGCATCCCCCTCACGTATCGAACACCTGGTACACTCGCCGCACGAACCGCCGGCAGAGGGAGCTGCTCTCCTTGACAGCTGTTGCGCAGCGCATGCGGCAAACATGGTGGCCACCCACACGGGACGAACACGGCCTGCCACAGGCCATCTGCATTGCTCCCCCTCACGTACCAAACACCCGGTACACTCGCCGCACAAACCGCCTGCAGATAGGGCAGAGGGAGCTGCTCTCCTTGACAGCCCTGGCACACCGCATGCAGCACACACGGTGGCCACACGGGATGAACACCGCCCTTCTCACCCTCTGTCTGCACCCTCCTCACGTATCAAAGACTTGGTACACTCGCCGCACAAACCGCCTGCAGATAGGGCAGAGGGAGCTGCTCTCCTTCACAGCCCGTGCACACCGCAAGCAGCACACCCGGTGGCCACATGGAATAAACACCGCACTCCTCACCCTCCCTGCGCACACCACACACACCTGCTCTGCTGGCAACCCATGCTCCCACTCCAAATCCAACCCCTCCTCTTCCTCTTCCTCCCCCTCTCCCGCCCCTCTTATCTCCCCACTCTCCTCCCTCTGAGCCTCTCTGATCCCCTCCACTGCCTCTAGAATCTCCTCTATCCGCTGGTCACGTCTGTTTGACTGGTTGTGAGTGGCAGCAGGGAGGAGAGCAGGGAATTCCTCTCCCCAGGGGGCACCAGCGCCCTGCCATGCAGTGGCCGCTCTCTGCTGCTCATACTCCCGCTCCCGCCTCTCGTTGCGACGCTTCCTGAGAGGACGTGGAGGGGCGGGGCAGGTTAAGGGAAGAACCATCAGCAGGGAGGAAAGTGTTTTGAGACGTCTCAAAACGACGCTTCCTGAGAGGACGTGGAGGGGCGGGGCAGGTTAAGGGAAGAACCATCAGCAGGGAGGAAAGCAGGGAAATCCTCAGGCCAAACCGCAGCAGCGCCTTGCCATGCGGTGGTTGCGTCTCTCGATGCCGCTCTCTGCTGCTCATACTCTTGCTCCCGCCTCTCATTGCGCCACTTCCTGAAGGGAGTACGGAGATGGGGAAGTGTGCGAGAGAGAGGGCGCGTGGGAAGGAGTGCGTGAAAAGAGGGACCTCTCCTCTCTGACTAATGGTCCCTAAAAGGAGGTGAAGAACCAGCGGACGGAAAATGGCAGACTTTTGAGTCGACTCAAAAGTCTCCTCTCTTTGCACTGGCCCCTAAAAGGAGGTCAAGAACCAGTGAAAGGAAAATGGCAGGGGAAGAGGAAGAAGCACTTTGAGACGTCTCAAAATACAACATTTATCACGTGAAAAGAGGGACCTCTCGTCTCTTTGTACTGGCCCCTTAAAGGAGGTGAAGAACCAGCGGAAGGAAAATTGATGCTCAAGTACACCCTTTTTGGGAATTCTCAAAAACACCCTATAGGAGGTGAAGAACCAGCGGAAGGAAAATGGCAGGGGAAGAGGAAGAAGCACGCGCAAGGAAAAGGCAGGGTCAGGGAAGACGCAAGGGCAGAAAAGAACTTGCATTCTCATGTCTGCCCGCATAACTACTCCCCCACCCGGGATCTCACCTCCACCACATGAGGCCTGCAACAGCAGCAGCAGCCAGAGCGAAGAGGGCTCCGCGCTGCACATGACCCCTCCGCTGCTGCCGCAGCCGCTGCAATGCCGCCTCCCGACTCTCGTTCAAGCTGGGAAAGAACACACGTGTAAAAAGAGTATTTTTGAGATGTCTAAAAAAAAACTCTTTTTACACCTGCGTCCTCCCGCTGCCCCTGCAGCCGCTGCAGTGCCACCTCCCGACTCTCGTTCAAGCTGGAAAAGAACAGGAGGCAGCGCAAAGGGAGTAGGACAGTGGAGTGGGAGGCTGTGGAAGAGGCGAAGGTGGGCGGTTATGTTTGTGACACTTTAGGAAAGAAAGAAAAAGAAACACACAGAGTGCGCACGCACGCACACGCGCGCGCGCGCACGCTCACACACACACAAATAGGAGACAGTTTCGTAGACAGGAAGTGTGGACAGTGTGGACATTTTCGTAGGTGGGGAGGAGTGGCGAACGGAGGTAGGGAGGAAGAATTCGGGGGATGGAGGGGAGAAAGGTGAGGGGAAAAGAAGGGTCGGGAGAGGTGGGTGGAAGGGAGCAAGAGGTGGGGAAAGCAGAGCAGGACACTAAGGAGGATTTGAATATTTGAAGGGGAAAGGTGAGGGAAGGGAGAGGCAGAGGTGGGAAAGGAAATTGAGATTCTCACAGGAAGTAAGGAAGGCGCGAGGAAGGTACCAGTGCCGCCCGGCCGTCCTTGCTGACGTGGACGTGTCCGACAGCTGTCAGCGTGTGATTGACCGGCAGAATCCGGTGCTCGGACCGCATCCCGAGGGGCATCCGCCGCCCGACGATCAAATGGGCGGCAGAGGCGAGAGTGGGCGGCAGAGCCTTGTGCAGGTGGGAGTGGAGGGTGACTAGAGGGATAGGGGATTGCTGATTGGATGGGCTTTTGGCCAATGAGATGTTGACACGTGGAGCTGATGGGTCTGAAGATTCGGCCAGGCAGAAAGGAACCTGAGGTGTGGGTCAATAGGATGGGGAGGGGGATAACACTAATGGCAAGAGCACTTGTGGGTGGCAGCACTAATGGGAATAACACAACAGCACTCGTAAACGGCAGCACTTATGAGCGGCAGCACCAATGGGCCACAGCACTTGTGGGTGGCGGGCGGCACAGGTAATACCTGAGAGCGGAAGAGGTTGACTCGCTCTGACTTAGGAAGTCTTGGATTCGAACTGCAGCAAGCGACCGGGTCTCCTTAGAAGTTTTTAGCTAAGTACAGGTAATACCTGAAAGCGGAAGAGGTTGACTCGCTCTGACTTGACACGCCATCCCAGCAGGGCGTGGAGCTCCGAGTACATCATCTGCCACGTGGCATAAACAGGGAAAGACACGTGGCACTCTCAGACTGCTGACACGTGGCATATGCAAGGGAAACATGGGCCTCTTAATCTCATGCCACGTGGTACTCTATTTCAAAAGCACTTGATAGAAGAACAAGGTGTTACAATTCATTCCATCAGCACGTACAATGCCTTACGAATGTAGTGCATTGGCTTTTGAGACGTCTCAAAAACGCCATGCGATGCGAATGTAGTGCAATGACGTGAAAGGACATGACACGACATCCCCTTACATGGCATACCATGCCTTGGCTTGCCACCCTTCACCCACTTCCCCAACATGTTCCAATCAACCTTAGTCTACGTGATACCCGTCACTCACTTACCTCATCAACTCTCTCTACAATCACCGCGCCTGCAGTCACACCATCCCCTTGCACGCTCCTTCCAGATTCCACCACCCCTTGCCACTCCGCTCCTTCACGTGCTGCCTTCCCCAGCAGCACTGAACCAGCATCAGCAGCCGCAGCAGCGCTGCCACCCCCACCACCGCTGCCACTGCTGCTGCTGCCGCTGCCGCTGCGGCTGTTGCTGCACGGCTGCACCACCCCTCGCACCGCCACCAGATCCCTCTCCTGTGGCGACTGTGACTCTAACGAGAGCTCACTACTCGTGACTGTGTGCCCGCCCCACCACCGCCTCTGCCACCTCTTGCGCACAGCTGGCAGCCGCCACAAGTCAACCGACTCAACGCATCCAGACGAGTCAACGGAATCAACGCATCCAGACGAGTCAACGCAGTCAGCGCATCCAGACGAGTCAACGCAGTCAACGCATCGAGACGAGTCAACGCAGCCAACGCGTACAGACGAGTCAACCTGTGCTGGTGCATGGGTACGGGCGGCAGCCTCTCGCCGTCTCACCACCTCCTTCTCCAGTCGCTCCAACCCTTTAGCTACTCTGTCTAGCCGCCACCGCGCCCCATCCCTCTGAACCCCCTTCAGGTTGCCTTTCCAGGCCCCTTCCGCTCTTGCGCCCTCTGCTCTTGTGCCCTCTGCTCTTGCGCCCTCCGCCCCTGCACCCTCCGCCCTTACGCTACCAGCGCTAACACCCCCTCCCGCCTGAGCTCCTTTGCGCACTCGTTCCGCTATTCCGCCCTCTGCTTCCCCTTCCCCGCTACGCATCGATGCATCAGCGGCGCCGCGGGCGGAAACTCTTTGCCCCGTTTCCCCGTTCCGCTCCCCCTCTCCCATCCTATTCCGCTCGCCCTTCCGCGCCCCCTTCTGCTTCCTCCGCCTCTTGCGAGGCATGTTCGCGCCGATATTCACCACATCCGCGATTCGCGCGTCTCGCGCGGATCGAAGCGCGCCGATGGAGCGCGACAAGGCGAATATATTCCATAGCGAGTGCGCGGCGCCGCTAATGAGGAGCAGCAGAAGCCCCTTAGGCTCGTGGAATAAGAGGCAGCCGAGCCGCTCGCCGTGCTGGATTAATAGTTGACGGATAACCGTTCCCCATGGGCCGTCGCCGTTTATATGGCCGTCGCTCATCGTTCACTTTCAGTTCGGCTCGGTTCAAAATGGTTTAGCTGAAATCGGTGCGCCTCAAAAAGAAAGTTCTTTCACGTTGCGCTAACAGCTGACAGAGCTCAGATTCGCGTCGCCAGCCCGCTATGGGCGCATGATTTCTTTGAGCTGTCAATGGTTCGTGCGAATCGCTTCGGTAACGATCAGCTCTATTCCTGCAGCGCGGCGCAAAAAAGCTGTACGTGAGGGTTGCTCATCGATTCCGCATAACTTCAGAGAGCAAGAATGGAAGGTATGGCAAAGCACTGTTGGGAGCTTGTCTTGCGGGGAAGGTGTGGATGAGGGAAGGAGTGGACATATTTATGAAATGGTGGCACCCTTTTCTTGACAATGTGAACAATTTTGTAGCAAGTCGGTTGGCCTGGGTTGTTTGCGAGTTGCGTGGCGCTGAGAACGGGAAGAGGACGGATCTTGATCCAACGGCTAATATTCTGAGAGAAACACCAGGCAGTGGTGGTGATGGGGAAGGGTGATGAAGTGACGAATCGCGTGCATCTGCGACCTGCGCGAGGGAGTCAACGAACGACTGACATGACGTGTAGGACACGTAAGAATTTGATGTGCTATGTCTGGGTGTAAGTGATAATCAAAAGTGTTTAAAACAAAAGAGGAGATCTGAATTGAAGTGCTGTTTTTCTCCTTAGCGAGTTCGCTTCTGTCGCTTCGTTCATCACAAGGCTTGGTTTGGGCCAGCTCAGCATGGTGGTTTCTAGGCCCAGCCAATAACAATGGCTGGAACGCGTTGGTGCAGGTGCGAACGACCATCGCGACCTCGTTGTGCGAAGAAAGAAGTTGTGCGAAGCAACAAAAGCTGCACGGGTGGCAATTTTTCTGCGACTAAAGAAATCGAACAGAGTTCGCACCCAACGCGAGGCCAGATATTCTCGTGTGTTCCTGACCCGATCAAACGTGGTCAGTCCCGTCGCACATCACTCATCCACCCAAATTATGGACTCCAGCTCTTCTGCCACAATAATTCACTCAGTATCGCGATTCCTAGGTCCAGAATTTATTGATTAGATATCCTCTACCACGATTAGTCACTCGGTATCGCGATCCTATAGTCAAGAACATATTGAACCATCTATCTCTTCCACCCAGCCGCGTTCCTAGCGCCTCGTATTGTACTTCCAGCCTCGGGCGATGATGGGGGAGCGTTCGAACTTCGCTTATAAAGAACCCGTCAGAGCAGTCTCATGCACACAATCCGTGTGCAGAAATAGTACAATATACTTACCTTCAGCTACACCAACGACTAGCTATAGTGCCTGTAGTGCATCAGCTATCACGACTGGCATCGTGCTGTAACGTCGCGCAAGAATCACCCAGCTGAAACGACATGGCGACCTCTCCTGCCGCGCTGCTTCCTCTTCTCCTTCTTGAAAGAAACCGACCTGCTCTAAGTGACGCCACAGAACTAACTTGGCGAGTTAGAGGCAGAGCCTAGGATCAATCCGACGGGCTCGGAGCAAGGATTCCGTAGCAACTTAGATCACTGAAATCGCCCGAGTAAACAGAGAGCAATTGTATATTATGCAAGAGTGGGTACACAAGTCGTCAATGGAACGAACTCTCTGTTTTGCTCTCTGGATTTTATAGCTAAAACACACATGCATAAATGTAACATCGAACCGCGCGCGACTCGCCAGGAATTCGGACTCAGGATCGCGTCCAATTTCCGCAACGTCCGCGTTCACAATTTCGGACTTTGCCGGGTTCGTTTCTTCGCGCCGACAATCGTGTGTTACAAGAAACAATAACGAGTGTAGCGAAATGTTTGTAACATTCGCTTGCACTCTCATTATTTTCGTGCTTGCTTGTGGGGCTTGCCAAGTGTCGCCCCCACAAAAGTTCGGACCCAACCAGGGGCGAACTCGGTTGAGTGGCGACGCGGTCAATCCGCCGTCACCCCTCATTCCGAGAAAGAACCCTCCCTTGGTCCGAGTCAAGGGAGGTCTTCGCGTGGGGGGCAATCCCGTCCCCCACACTTCCAACACTTCTTGCCGTCATCTGCGGTGAGTAGATTGTCGTTCTCAAGTTTTTTTTTTACCGCGACGCTTTTCGCACAAGCGAGAGGGTCTTTTTACAACTTCGGAAGTTCCTCTCACCCCTCTGCTCTCTCAACCCTCTGCTCCCTCTCACCCTTCTGGTTTCTCTGAATGCAGCGGTTGCCATGGCTCACGTGGGAGTGCACGATGCGGGTTACACCAAGGGTGCGAGGAGGAGCATGAAAAACGATGGCACGGCAGGAAGCGTGGCAGTGGGGTTGGGGGTGGGAGTGACGGGCAGTAGCGGCAGCAGCGTTGGAACGGTGGGCGCGAGCGTTCAGGTGGCGACGCAGATCACGGTGCCGGGCGTCAGCCTGCCCGTCAGCTTCGACGGTGCAGGCGGGCCCTCCGCTGCTACACCCTTCCGCGGGCGGTGGCCAAGGCAGGGCGGGGCGTGCAGGTGTGGTGGAACGGGCTGGCGGGAGGAAGCAAGGGCAGCAGCAGCAAGGGTGCGGCGGCGTGCAAGCAGGTGCAGTTCTTTGCCAACCCCGCCTGCAAGGGCAAGGCGCTGGATGAGGTGCTGAAGCCGCAATACGCCGGCCTGCGCAAATTCTTCAACATGCCCAGGTGGGTCTTGATGAGGGGGCCATGGGCCATGGGGGTAGGTGGGCGCTATTGGTTTGTGCTGCAGTAACGCGTTCAACGTTTGACCTGTACATGTTCCTGACTTCTGAACGTGCTCCTCACGTCTCATCTGAACGTGCTCCTGACATCCTATCTCAACGTGACGTCTCATTTTAACGCGTTCCTGACGTCCTTGCAGCAAGAAGAAGGTCGCCCGATGGACTTCTGTTGCCTGCCGTGCTGGTGCGTGCCTTGCCTCCATGCCAGACTAGCACTGCCACTGATAACCCCGGCCTTCTCCCGCGCAATGTGTCTCACTGCCATCCATGGCCCTCACCTTGCTTGACTGAATTATGTAAGGCCATTTATGGGCCATCTGTTTTTGCTGGGTAGGTGATTCCTACAATCCAAAGCGCTCGTCCCAAAACAGTGACAAATCTTATCTCAACTCATCCTTTCGCGCGCTGCTTGTGTCACAGAGGAGGTCACTCACCAGTGTCCGACCAACACCACGTGGGGCAAGGATGACAAGGGGGTTGAAGGCTGTGTGTGTGACAAGGGCTTCGTGTTGTCTGAAGATGGAGATGGCCGTTGTGTTGGTGAGACATGCCCATCTGAAACCCCCCCCAGCATGCTTCCAATCTTTCGTCGTGGTTGACTCGTTTTGTCGATCTCAGTTACATCTCAACTCAGCGCAACCTTTCACGTCTGTCTTGCGTCGCAGGTGCTTGTGATTCTTGGGATTGTGGGGAGATCAGCCATTGCGAGGTTGACAATGGGGAGCCAGTTTGTTACTGTAACCGGGGTGTTAAGGTAGATGGTGGTGAAGACTGTGAGAACCTATACAGGGAGGACTCTTGAATTCAAACTCAGGGGCATGTTTTGTTCATGTTCACTATTACAGCATGGATCGTTACAGCATGGACCAGTGCGGTAGAGGTGAAGGATGTGAGTGACTGTTGACACGGATTTCAATAGACGTATGGCTGATGCCCTTTTCTCTCCTGCTTCTCTGTCGTTTTCTTGCTGCCACTACATTGTCCACCTTGCTTGACTGGACCGGATGTGGCTGTCTGCTTTAATACACTAGTACTACTGGGTGGGTCACACTTAGTCTGGATGTTTCTGTAATCTCTTTTCCTACGCTCGTTGTATTTCTATATTTTAAATATCCCATATAGAAAGCGCAATCTTTGTATATTGCCCCGCAAAGAAACGCCCTCCCACCCATCCACTAACAGCCACGAACAGACTATGTTAGCCTTCGACTTTTGAGATGTCTCAGCAAGTCATAGGCGAGGTGAGCTGGGAGAGGGAGATTGCCGGTGACTCTCTGGTAAAATGCGGTGCAAGGAAGTTTTGTTGAGATGACTTGCATTGGGATGCTTCGAATAGAATGCATTTGGTTGGCATACCATCCTCACACAGTGTCCAACCCATCGAAGTCGGATCTATATCACCTTTTATACCGGTAAGAGGCTCGACGTGACGATAACCAAGCTCTGTTACCAGCTAGTAGATTTGTTATAGCGTCCGGCTGACGTTGGAATGAATGTATGACTGGAGATCTTTCTCATTATTCCAAGACAGATTTCAGTAAAAACAGAGAAATACATTTAGATTCAAACCTGCTTAATCTAAGCATTTCGGATATGTGGTATGAAAATCTTGTAACGCGTCGTTCGCGTGTTACTTCGAGTCGCACGCGGAACCTGTCAAACATTATATATATGTTGTGGTTGTTTAGGCTACAGTGGGTTAGCCTATAGGGGGTACACAATTCTAGGGTTAGGTACTTGTACTGATTTCACTGTTAGTTCAATCATTCCTGTCTGTTGATTCCGACATGGTTTCAGAGCAGGTCCTTCGCTAGGACCGTTCTTAGGGCCCACCGCTACCTACCTACCTACCTACCTACCTACCGTGCGCCCTCGTGCGCCCTCGCGCCCTCGTGCGCCTACGCGCCCTAGTGCGCCTCCTACCTACCGCGCGCGCGCAGCCCGCCAGCCAATCGCGCGCGGCTCGCTTTTATTTATTTATTTATTTATTTTTAACCGCGCGCGACCCGCTAGCTGCCCGCGCGCGGCCGATTTCTTGAGAGCGCGACCGGCTAGCCGCCCGCGCGCCGCTCGCACCGCTATAGCGCAGCCCGCAGCGGCCCCGCCGGCCTGCACATTGCCGCCCGCCCGCTGCAGCGCCCGCCCGCTCGTCGCCCGCTGCAGCTGCCGCCCGCTCGTCGCCCGCTGCTGCTGCCGCCCGCTCGTCGCCCGCTGCTGCTGCCGCCCGCTCGTCGCCCGCTGCAGCTGCCGCCCGCTCGTCGCCCGCTGCAGCTGCCGCCCGCTCGTCGCCCGCTGCTGCTGCCGCCCGCTCGTCGCCCGCTGCAGCTGCCGCCTGCTCGTCGCCCGCTGCAGCTGCCGCTACCACGGGCCCGCCGCTGCAGCTACCGCCTGCGCGTCGCCCGCAGCCGCTCCCGCTCGTGCGCCGCGGCCGCTACCGCCCGTGCGCTACTGTTGCGCCTGCTACCGCTGCCGCTGCTGCACTCGCTCCCGCTGCAGCCGCCGCTACTGCGCCCACTGCCGCTCTCGCCCATGCGCATTAGCTGCTGCCGCCCGTATGCTGTCACTGCCGCTGCCGCCCGTGCGCCTAAGCCGCTGCCGGCCTGTCAACTCGACCGCTACTGCCCGTGCACGTTCTTTTAGTGGCCCCGCCGGCCCCGTTGACACTGCCCACAGCTTCCCTGCGGCCTCATTCTTACTGTTTCTACCGCTACTGCTACTGCCGCTATGGCTACTCCTACTACACTTACTTTCGATACTGAGGGCCGTCCAGTGAAGTTCGAAACCTGGCTCGATGACCTCCACCTCTTTCTACAGCTCACTGCTAAGGAGGACATTTCACTGTACGATCACGCCCTAGGCAACGCTACTGCCCCTCCTACCACTGCTGACAGCACTCAGCGCTCACAGTGGCAGACTCGTGACGCCCACGCTCGCTTCGCTATTCGTAACTCCCTACCGATCGACGAGCGCGAGCACTTTGGCCAGCACAAAACTGCTAAGGACCTGTACACTGCTGTAGTCGCTCGCTACTCCTCCCCCGCTTCTGCCACACTAGGCCGCCTCACTCTCCCCTACCTGTTCCCCGACCTGGCCTCCTTTCAGACAGTTGCTGACCTCATCACCCACCTTAAGACCAGTGAGGCCCGCTTTCGCGCTGCTATGCCTGACGAGTTCCTCACTAGCAACCCCCCCCGCTCTGGATCACTCTCTACCACATAGTCACCCGCCTCCCCGACTCCCTGCGCACAGTCAGGGACCACTTCCTCTCTCGCTCCCCCACTGAACTCACCATTGCCCTCCTCGAGAAGGAACTGCTTGCAGCTGAGGCGAGCATCGTCGCTGTAGGCACCTCTCGTGGCGACCCCCGCACCCCGTTCTTTGAGGGGTGTTCCCCTTCCCCTCTCCTCCCCTCTGTCGCCTCTGCTGCTGCTGTCGACCTCCTTGGTGCTGAGAAGGTCGGGGCCGCGTCTGCTTCGAGCGGGCGCCGCAAGAGCAAAGGGGGCAAGGGTGGAGGTGGCGGCGGAGGAGGTGGGGGTGGAGGCGGTGGGAGTGGAGGAGCGGCTGGGGAGGCTAGTGGCGGCAGTGGGGGTGGTGACAGCAGCGGCGGGAGTGGCGGCAGGGGTGGAGGCGGCAGCGGAGGCGGAGGTGGTCGTGGCAGCGGCAGGGGTGGTCGTGGAGGCGCTGGCGGTGGCCAGAGTCAGCAGCCCGCCCCGTCGCTTCAGGCCGCCCGTGAGTGGTATGCGCAGCGTGGCTTTACCTGCACGTACGTCATTCGCACTGGTGACCGCACTGGCCAGCAGTGTGGGAGGCCGCATCCCACACAGCGCTGTTTCGCGCGCCTTACTGATGCGTGGCGTGCCCAGTTTCCTGATGCCACTGAGCTGCCCCGCTGGGCTGATCTGGAGAAGAAGGGAGTTGATATCTGGGCTTTAGACTTTGATGCTATTCTCACTGCCATGTATGCGATGTTTACTAGTGGAGAGGGTGCCCAGTACTTGCGTGTTCCGCCCGACCCGGGCATTCTGACCAGTCCGGCTGCCGCTCTAGGTGCTAGTGAGTCTGCTGCCCCAGGTCCTGGTGAGGCTGCTGCTCTAGGTGCTCGTGAGTCCGTCCCCCCTGGTACTGAGTCGACTGCCGCACTTCACACCTTCACACTGGACTCTGGTGCTTCTCGCTGTTTCTTTCGTGACCGCACTGTCCTTGAGCCACTCGCTCGGCCAGTTGCTGTCTCTCTCGCTGACCCCTCTGGGGGTCCGGTCCTTGCGACCTCCTCCACTGTCCTTCCTTGTCCTGCGGTCCCGTCAGGCACACTGTCAGGTCTCTACCTCCCCTCGTTCTCTACGAACTTGGTGGCAGGTAGTGCGCTCCAGGACGGGGGTGTTCACCAGTTCACCCCTGCGTACGAGCGCGTGACGCACTGCACGTGTGCTCGGACGGGCCGTCACCTGGCTACCTTCACTCGGCAGCCGGGGTCGGACCTGTACACACTGACCACTGAGTCCCCTCAGGTAGCTGCGTCCGCGTCTGCGTCTGCGTCAGGTCAGCTGTCCGCCCCCTGCTCGTGTCGCTCTCTGGCGCATGAGACTGTCCTCTGGCACCACCGCCTTGGTCACCCGTCTGTGCAGCGCCTTCGGGCCATGCACAAACGGGACCTTGTTGCTGGTCTTCCCCCGGTTCTCCCTCCCCTCCCACCCTCGCCTGCTCCTCCCTGTCTTCCCTGTGTCGAGGGGCGGCAGCGCGCCGCTCCTCACTCCTCCTTCTTTCCCCCGACGACTTCTCCTTTGCAGACGCTCCATATGGACGTGTGGGGCCCAGCCCGCGTCCGTGGTCAGGGTCAGGAGAGGTACTTTCTGATTGTTGTTGACGACTTCTCGCGCTACACCACGGTCTTCCCCTTGCGCACCAAGGGTGAAGTCCCTGATGTCTTGATCCCCTGGATCCGCAGATCTCGTCTCCAGCTCCGTGAGCGTTTCCGCTCCGACTTCCCTGTCCTGCGTCTGCACTCTGACAGAGGTGGGGAGTTTTCCTCTGGCCTCTTGGAGGCCTTCTGTCAGCAGGAGGGCATTGAGCAGTCGTTCACGCTTCCGGCCTCTCCACAGCAGAATGGGGTTGCTGAGCGCCGCATTGGCTTGGTCATGGAGGTCGCTCGTACCTCCCTGATCCATGCGGCTGCTCCCCACTTTCTGTGGCCGTTTGCGGTCCGATACGCTGCGCATCAGCTCAACCTCTGGCCCCGTGTCTCCCTACCGGAGACTTCTCCGACACTGCGTTGGACGGGAGAGGCTGGCGATGCGTCGCGTTTTCGGGTCTGGGGATCTCGAGCTTTTGTTCGCGACACGTCCGCGGACAAGCTCTCCCGTCGCGCTGTCCCCTGTGTCTTCCTTGGCTTTGTCCCGGACGCGCCTGGTTGGCAGTTCTACCACGCCACCTCGCGTCGTGTCCTGGCCTCTCAGGACGTCACTTTTGACGAGTCCGTCCCCTACTACCGCCTCTTCCCCTACCGCACTGCTCCGCTCCCCCCCCCCGCCTCTCTTCCTCGCTCCAGGTGCTGAGGTACCAGACCCCCTCCCCCCTCAGGGTGCCGCTCCCTCAGGTGTGTCCCAGGTAGACCCGGGTGAGCCTGTCGAGGTGGCTGTCGACTCTCGTCCTGCTAGGGGTGCTGAGCCTGGGGGTGCTGAGCCTGGGGGTGCTGCGTCTGGGGGTGCTGAGCCTGGGAGTGCTGAGTCTGGAGGTGCGGAGCCTGGGGGTGCTGAGCCTGGGGGTGCTGAGTCTGGGGGTGCTGAGCCTGGAGGTGCTGAGCCT